TCATTCTATGCTGCAGGAATCACACTCCTGAGACTGTAAACCCAAAAAACTTTCCCACAGGTCCATAAAGATGTACAAGTAAGAAGGTATGTGACTGCAGAAAAGCAACTCAGGCATCAATTTATTAGGGAATGAAAAGTAAAATGTGGCAGATGAAATTCCATATTAGACATACTACATACACATACACAACCCCCCTCAACAGAAAGATCCTAAACAATGTCAAGTAAAAAAAGAAACAATAATTTCCCAAAGTAAAAGAACATGAATTCTCAGCTTGGAAGGGTCTACTGACTGCCCTTAAATAAAAAAGACTCACACTCAAGCACATTATCATGGAATTTCAAGGATTAAAAAATAATATCCAAAAAGCTTATAGAGATTGGGAGACAACGAAGGTCACATACAAATGAAGAAGAATCGGACTGTCTTTGGACTTCAACAGCAACAATGAAAGAAAAGCAACGACTTCTAAACTTTGAATAGATAGAAATTATTTTCAACCTAGAATTTTATACCCAGCCAAATTACTGATCAAATGTGAAGGCAGAATAAAGATTTTTTTGTTCAAACTAACAACTCAAGAGTTCTTATTCCCACATATCATGCCTCAGAAAACTACTACATTTACTCCAAGGAAATGAATAAACCAAGGTGGGGAAGCATGAGAAACAGGAGATCTTATACAGGAGAAAGGAAAAGAGAATTTTAAGAATGATAAAAAGAAACATCCCAGGATAACAACTGTGAAACAAGCTCAAAAGGTAACCAGTCCAGACTGCATTAAAGAAGCCAAAGGGTTCCAGGATACCTGTCTCAGGAAATGAAACAAAAAAGCATTAACTCCCAGGAAAAACATGAGAGGAAATGATATCATAGTACCCAAGAAGGATTGTTGTGAATATTTACCTAGTTATAATAAACATTGATTATTGACTTAATAAACATCTGTGATAACTATATTGAGAAGAGGGGAGAGGCAGTGGGCATGTGTTTGGGTGAGGTAATTATGAAACACCAAGGAATACACTTTGCTTAGAAGAAAATCAACAGATAATGTTTAAAATTGTTGTATCAAGAAATATCAACAGGGGTTAGGGTAAAGCTCAGTGATGCAAAGAGCAAGTAAATGTGCCTATCATGCCCAAGGCCCTGGGTTCACTGATTAGCAGGAAGGTAGAGGGAGGAAGGGGAGGAAAGCACAGGAAAGAGAGAGTTATAAATAACATAGGAGGAAACAGCTAAGGATAGCATCTAAAGTGTAGAAGCTGCAACAAGGGACAGCAGCATTTTTCATACAGTACTCTAATTTTTTTTTGGTACTGGGGATTGAATTCAGGAGCACTGGACCACTGAACCACATCCCCAGACCTATTTTGTATTTTATTTAGAGATAGGATCTGACTCAGTTGCTTAGTGCCTCACTTTTTACTAAGGCTGGCTTTGAACTCAAAATCCTCCTGTCTCAGCCTCCCAAGCCACTGGAATTATAGCCATGTGTCTCTGCACCTGCCATACAGTACTCTAATTTTAAATTCCACTTTTTAAAATGGTGATAAAACAATACAGTGTCATTTCATGGTGTTAAATTCTAGTTTTTTTCTGATGGAAAAACTGAACTGCTAATAAAATCAAGTTTAATTATTGATGTGAACATAATACAAACAGCCCTATGTTTGAATCCCAACTCTACCACTTATTCAGAAGTAGGGCAAGTTACCTAATCATCCTGTCTATGTAACCACCTGTAGAGTGGTTTTGCAAGGTAATTAAGTGAAAGCATCTGTAGGGCTTGACCTATTAACAGACTTAGGTACTTTCTGTGAGTCTTTCTGTTCCCAGCTACAAACCCCCATTCTGACCCCAAGCTGCCTTGTTGGTCAAAGAGGATAGAGACACATGGACAACTCAGCACATATCCCTCTTCATGCTGGAAAATCAATCATGATGAGTAAGCAGACTTATCTTTGTATATGAAGGGCAGTATTATTCTTGTTATATGAAAGAGATTATCCCCATTATCCACATTCTGGATTATTGCCTGCTCTCAAAAATTGTCCCAATTAGTCTACACTAGGACAGAACCATTTTTTCACTGAGGTCTCCTTTGTAGGGTCATTAACATATTTAAAAACAAACTGTACATCCCATCAGTCTTCATCCTTGCTCTTTCAATGCACAACCTCAAAAATTTCTAAGGTAGGCCTATCTGGCCCCCAGCTGGCCTGGGGGCACCTCCTACTTACAGAAACAAGGAAAAAAAAAAAAGGCAGCCCAACACAGTTAACTGAACTGTTTACCATTCCCAATGTTTTCTTCCATTAATACAGATAAATTCATAATCCCTACAAAGTACAAAGATATCTTAAAACAAAGAGTATTAGAGGACTGTCCTTATCACTAGGTCACCCATCTTTACTTGCATGGCCAATCAAAATATCTTAATTGATTTTATATACAGTACTCATACACATTTCCAAAAGCACAGACATTATAAATCAGTAAGATTGTATCATTAATTCAACAAACACCCAGGGGATGAAAAAATAAGATATAATCCCACTCTCACATGTATGGAGAAAGAAAAAAGGACAAAACAATTGAGAGCAACAGAGAACAATGGCAACAAAGTCATTAGAAACAAATTAGAGCAATTCTAGATTATCTGGTATAAAATAAGGAAAATTACAAAAATTGAACACACAATGAGATTCCTGACAACCCAAGTGTAAAGAGAAACGGGCCAGAATACAAAACAAAAAATGGCCTAATGAAAGGCAGTCATTTGTATAAAAAATAATAAAAATAAAAGCCTAGCACTAGGGTCTTAAGAATTTGTCTCTGTTTTAGAAGGACAAATTATATATATATATATATAAACAGTGCTCTGGATGGCAATAAAGAAAATTTTTTTTCAGGACCCCCTTTGGTATGTACCGATTCTAGATAAGATGCCTAACACTATATCTTAGGAAATGAATAAGCTTACATGAGACCTTAGAAAAAATAAAATAAAAAGTATACTGCTTTCAGGTGATACATTTATTTCTGTCACTTAGTTTATTCTAGTTGTCCTCATGGCTTCAGGTTCCATGCACCCTGGGGGGGTGAGGGTCCATCAAGCCTCAGGGCCTCAGATATACTATGGAAGTACTCTACCACTGAGCTACAGCCCCTTCTGGATTTTTATTTTTTAAAACAATTTTTTTTTCACAATACCTTTATTCTATTTATTTTTATGTGGTGCTGAGGATCAAATCCAGGGCTTCACACATGCTAGATAAATACTCTACCACTGAGCTATAGCCCCAGACCCACTCTTGGATTTTTATGAATATGTATTTTGTTCCCCTAGGATTATAAGATCCTCAAAGCTTATGTTGTCTGTTTCCATTTGAACTTTCTTTGTTCTTTGTAAACAGCTTTTTTACAGTTTCTGCTCAATTATAATGACTGATAAGATATTATGCAGACAACATTTGTATTATTTATTAGTTTTCCCTGTGACATTATAAATTCCATGAGGACATGGACAGTGTGTCTGGATCATGGCTGTATCCCAAGTTTCAGGTAAATGATCACTCCATAAGCATTCACTGGATGAATGAATTAAATAAAGCAAGTAAAACCAAGAAATAACAAAAGAAAGAAGAAATAATTATTAAAACAGTACACTCTGGGTTCTAGGGTCGGTTCCAACAAGAGCTGGATGACTTTACACAAATTACTTCTTCTGTCAAATAGGAAAAATTAACAACTACTTCCAAGTTATTATAAATATTAAGTATTTTATATAAGTATTTAGCACATTATTTGAAAAGGCGCTCAATAAATATTCTCTTACCTTCTCTCACTCCCTTAAAATCATATGTACATAAAACAGTCCCTTCCAAGAATAATTATTTCAGTAAAAATAAACTTTTTCTTGAAAAAAATAAATTTTAATATCTTCAATCTTTAAAACGGAGGGAAGAATAACTTGTGGATCACTTCCAAAGTAGGGAAGAACAAGTTAAGGAAAAACTGTCAAGAATAAGCCTTAAAGTAACAAAAGGAGACAAAAATTACCTATTCATCTAATGCCAACAGAGATTTTGAAGAAATTGTTTGAGGATGGAAAAGTGATTGTTTTTAAATAGTTTCAGAAGTATTTCATGAGTGTTTACCGAATCTGAGTTGAAGCCTGAAAAAAAAATCAATCATTTTGAAACTTCTCATTTAAAAGTGGAACAAGAAGCACTTCCATTCAACCATAAAACATCCTTTATGACCTGCCTGACTCCAGTCAGCCTTCAGTTTTCTCCTCCCACTTAGAGCTTAATCTAATACTTGGCTGTTTCCTTTGCATCACTGCTTACACACGCTCGGCGCAGACTTAGTTCTGTCATTCCTATAATTACCACACCCCCGTCAGCCGCTCTGGGCCCATGTTGTTATGACATCTGTAAACTGCAGCCGACGGTCTCCACCCCGCCCCCTACACCTCCGTCCAAACACCGGTCCGGGCTCTAACTTGTGAATTCCCCAGACTGTCCATTCCAGCGCGGTTAGGATTTTTACAAGCCACCCCGGCTGTTTCCTCCCTAAGAGCAGCACTAGCTCAGCGCGGCCCACTCCCGCACCCCGCCCGCGCGCGCCGGGTCAAGCCGCGTCGTAGGCTCCGCGCTCGCCTCTTCTCCGCCCCGCTGCCTCGGCGCCCCGCAGTCCCCGGCACCGCTTCCACCCCGCCGCCCCGCCCCGCCCCGCCTCGACCGGCGTTCCTGATGGCGATCACACCAGCGTTCCCCGCCCCCACCTTCCCTCCGCCGACCTACGGCCGTTAGGACAGCCGGGGCCGTGACGCACGGACGCGCTGCGAGCGTCCGGGCCCAGACACCCAAGCTCGAGCCACTGCCGGCGCCGGCAATCGTCCGGGGGCCTCTCCAGGCTCACGCCGGAGACTACCCGGATCTGCCAGCGGGCGGGGGAGGGGCCGCGGCAGTGGGGGCACCCTCACTCACCGGCTCGAGGCAACCGATCCCGGTGCCACTGCTAGAGTGAGGCGCTCGCTCGCTCGCCCACGGTACCTCTCCCGCGCACAACCTCGAAGAGCCTGCCCGCGCCTCAGCAGTATTCACCAGGCCTCGCTTTCCGCCGCCGCGCACCGAGGAGCAAGACCAGCTCAGCCGGCGTGCGGAGTGCGCCTGCGTGCGGGGGCCGGCCTGCGCGCCTGCGCGCACCCCTCCGCCGCAGAGCCTGCCGGGAAAAGTAGTCTTCCAACGGTCTTTCCCTAGCGGTTGCTAGTGGTTAGCGCCGGTTTAGTGAAGAGTTGGGGTCAGGGAAAGGGTCCGACTTCGGTTTACAGTCCGTGGACAAGGGTGGGAAAGTGGTGTCTATAAACCTGTCTTTACTAAGCTCTTCCAAGGCTGATCGATCCCCCTCACCTCCCTCACGTGGTAGTTACCTAAAATAGTTCATGTTTATTAGATGAATGATGGATGGCGTGATTGAAGGCTGAGGGCTTATTTAAAAAGTGACGTCAGTGCCTCGTGTCCAAAGGGTTCACATGCAGCCCGATTGCAGGAAGCCTCTGGGTTTTTAATTCTTTCCATCCTCTTTGCCTGATACTTTTTAAGTAGTATCAGAAATCATTAAGAATTAATTTTTAACATATGTACTTGTGTTACTCTCAATTAGTGCTTACAAACGAAAATTTTGGTTCCATAATTATTACTATTAAATTTGATGGAATTGTTTTTTTGGGAGAAGCAAATGGAATCGTGGCTTCAAAAAAAGCAAAACTAAAGCCAGCCAAGCAGAGGTGATGGGAAAGTCTCACAGATGGGGTAGTTTTACTGAATCACTTTAAAACACCAGGAAACAAGGTGAAAGAGATGGGGTAGATTAACGCATTTTCACTCCCCCTCCCTGCCTTACTCCCTCTTTCCTCCCATTCCCTCCCTTGGGCCCTTCTCCCTCCCCAACCCCGCATGACCATTCCCCAACCCATGATTCTAATAAACACACCATGGATTTTTTTTTTTTTTTTTTTTTTAAATCAGAGTTGAGTTTGAGAAAGGAGAAAGAGGGGAAAAAAGTGTTGTATGAGAGAGGCCTAGAGGCAAGCATGCCTGCCACACCCTATTCCAATCGGGAACTAAGACTGATTTTTCAGAGCTGGACTTTACTCAGTTCACCCTTACTCCAAGGTAGGTTCCCAAAGTCTCAGGTATTTACTAGGGCTTGTCCTCTTTGGCAGAGCCTCCTCAGTCCTGAGCAGTCAAAGGCGCTACTCAGTTTTTTAGCCACTGTTCTTAGAATCAGCAGTCAACCCAGGTTTGGAAAAGTGATGGAAAACAGGCTCACTTTTCATGGCACCCTTTTCTTGCACCACCAAATTCTTACTTCCTGGGTACTTTAAATGCATTCATGTTTTTCTATTTTCTCCAGTTGTTCTTAGTGGTGGCAGTGTTGGGCCAAAACAAGAAGGCTAATGCCCAAAGCATAATTCCTCTATAATAGAAACTGTTTGGGGCTGGGGATGTGGCTCAAGCGGTAGCGCGCGCACTCACCTGGCATGCGTGTGGCCCGGTTCGATCCTCAGCACCACATACAAACAAAGATGTTGTGTCCGTCAAAAACTAAAAAAATAAATATTAAAATTCTCTCTCTCTCTTAAAAAAAGAAAATGTTATCATACCACATGTGGTGCTTTATAAGCTAATGGCTGTCTAGCTAGATTTTTTTTATATTTTGAAAATTTTTTTAAATGTGGAACAATATGCTGAGCACATGCCTGTAATCCCAGCAGCTCAGGAGGCTGAGGCAGGAAGATCCTGAGTTCAAAGCCGAGGTGCTAAGAAACTCGGTGAGATCCTGTCTCTAAATAAAATACAAAATAGGGCTGGGGATGTGGCTCAGTGGTCGAGTGCCCCTGAATTTAGTCTCCAGTACTCCCCCCTCAAAAAAAGTGTAGAACAGTATTTTTTATCATAGTGCTCTTATGAATATCCCTATACATCTACCACCTACAAGGAACCTGCTATATTCTCAAACACAACATATTTAATGTCTAAGATATCCCTCAAGATCTCTGTCCCATAGTGTTGTCCTATGTAATTCCTACCTCTTGAATAAGGATGAGACTTAGAATACAGCAAAGATGATGGGATTTTACTATCATGGTGACATTTCATTATATATGAATTTGTCTTAGCAGTCTTCCTGCTAGCCTTGAAAAGGCAAGTTGTCATGTTGTCAACTGCTTATGGAAAAGGACACAGGGCAGGGTAGCAGGAAAGCACAGATAACTTGTAGGCCCTGAGTGTAATGGCCCTTAGCTGGGAGCCAATAAGAAGCCAGGGTCCTTAAATAAAACACAAAGAAATTAATTCTGCCAACACAGCCTGAGAGAGTTTAGAAACAGATTCATCCCCAATCAAGCTTCCAGATGGCCTGACTTACACTTTATTGTAGCTTTGTTAGACCTTGAGCAGAGGAACTAAGCTGCACATGGACTCCTGGTCCACATAAACTAAAAGGTAGTAAATGTGTTTTAAGCCACTAGGTTTATGGCAACTTGTTACACAGCAAAAGTAAACGAATATAATAAAATATTACTGGATTATTTCATGAAGTGGTTGTACCAAGTTTTATGCTCCACAAACAGCACAAGATTCTCTTCTCTACACACCCTTGCTAACATTTGGAAATGCCTGACTTTTTAAAATGTTTGCCAACCTAATCGAGGTGGAAATTAAAAATAATATAAACTGTGTTGATGTTATCCTTGAACGTAGAAATATGAAAAATAGGTATTTAATTGAAATCATATATTCTGTTACATGCTATTAAACAAAATAGCAATAGCACTAAAAGTGGACAGAAGTAATAATTAATAGAAATATCAATTAAGTAAATAATAGGTGTGAGAAAATATGACAATATTTTTTATAATGTTTTTGTCTTCTGGTATAGCAATTTAATTCATTATTGCATATTTAAATTTTGTAGGCTATATTTTTCTATATTCTTTTTTTTTAATATTTATTTTTTAGTTTTTTCAGTGGACACAACACCTTTATTTTATTTTTTTTATGTGGTGCTGAGGATTGAACCCAGCGCCCTGCACATGCCTGGCGAGCGCACATCCCCAGCCCTATATTCTTTTTTTTTTAATATTTTTTTAGGGGCTGGGGATGTGGCTCAAGCGGTAGCGCGCTCGCCTGGCATGCGTGCGGCCCGGGTTCGATCCTCAGCACCACATACAAACAAAGATGTTGTGTCCGCCGAAAAACTAAAAAATAAATATTAAAATTCTCTCCCTCTCTCTCTCTTTAAAAAAAAAAAAAATATTTTTTTAGTTGTAGTTGGACACAATACCTTTATTTTATTTATTTATTTTTATATGGTGCTGAGGATCGAACCCAGTGTCTTGCACATGCTAGGCGAGCACTCTACTGCTGAGCCACAACCCCAGCCCCTCTATATTCTTAAGATATGTAAAAAATGTGAGGAATTTTTAAAATGATTTGCACAAATACTTTTTAAAAAATTTTTTTGTAGTTGTAGATGGACAGAATGCCTTTATTTTATTTATTTTTATGTGATTCTAAAGATCAAACCCAGTGCCTCACATACGCTAGGCAAGCGCTCTGCCAATGAACTACAGCCCCAGCCCAATGTGAGGATTTTTTAAAGAAGAAAGTAGCATGTAGCCAGGTATGGAGGTACATACCTGTAATCCCGGTTACTCCAGAGGCTTAATCAATAGGATCACAAGTTCAAGGCCAGCCTGGGCAATTTAGTGAGACCTATCTCAAAATTTTTTAATAAGGGTTGAGAATGCACTTAGTGATAGAACACTCTCCTAGCATTCATGAAGCACAAGGTTCAATCCTCAATACAAAAAAAAGGAGGAGGAGGAGAAGACAATAGATCTAATTAAACAGACATTACCTACAGTAAAATTTTTTTAAATGATTTTGTTTCTTTGTCTCATGATATGATTATTTTTATACTTTGTTTCTTTTTCCATTAATACTTCCCTGAACTGTCTGAAGCCTTCTTTAATATAGTGGTAAAACTGAATACAGTCAAACAAAATTAATTTGACTTAAAGCTCTGCTCTTCTGCCTATATGGCACTGATTCCTGTTGTCAGTTACAAAGTTATGACATTAAGCTAGATTTTCTCTCAACAAGGGTGTCTGAGTATAGAATACTTAGGATTTTATTTACTAGCACAGAAGGTTTTTTCACTTGCAGAAGTTCATTTCCAGCGCTCCAAAGTATCCATCCACTTTGTGTGTACAGTCTGTCAATTGAGTTCTTTGCATCTATAAATTGACTATGTAGGCTCTCTGTATCTGAAATTCCCTTCACTTTAAAAACACTAGGACCACATTACATGTCCTCATCTTTTCTGCAGGGAAATGGTTTTTAAGCACAAACATAATATGAAATTGTGAAATTGGAGTTAGATTTCAAATAAGTTTATAGTTTGAGTAAAGAAATTCAGAAAGTTTTGTTAAACTTTGTTGCCTTTTTCTGGGTTTGGGGAAACCCTTATTTTCAAGAAATTCTTTTTTAAAATTTTCTGTTTTTGAAGATTTTTTGCCACCTTCAATAACACTGAACAACTCAAGTCAGTTCTTTTCTGCAATTCTTATGGTCTCTTCAAAGACTATCTGTCCTCTCAGTTTTGCATTACAGGCCTTATACACATGCATGTGAACACCTCAGCCCCCACATCCACATCTATCTCTGTAGTTATTTATTGAGAAGTTTTGTTTTCTTTTTTAATTGGAGATTGAACCCAGGGCCTTGTGTATACTAGGCAAGTGCTCTACCACTGAGGTACATCCCCAGATCACTCTTGATATAGACTGTGGCATAGTCCATACTTGGGAAGAGACCCAAGAAAGAGACCTGGAAGTGGACTCAGCACTGTTTAAGCAGAAAATGTGGGGTTCCATGTACCTTCTGGGTGGCCTAGGAGTAAATACAGACTCCAGGTGGATCCATTCTCTTGGCTCCCACGGGGGACTTCACCTTGTGATGATGGCCCACTGGAGGAAGAGGCCAGAATGAATTTTTTTTTTAATATTTATTTATTTATTTATTTTTAGTACTCGGCAGACACAACATCTTTGTTGGTATGTGGTGCTGAGGATCGAACCCGGGCCGCACGCGTGCCAGGCGAGCGCGCTACCGCTTGAGCCACATCCCCAGCCCCATAAAGAGTAGGTTTTTTTTGTTTTGTTTGATGTGCTGGGGATTGAACCTAGGACCTTGTGCATACCAGGCAAGCACTCTACCAATTGAGCTATATATCCCCAGCCCAGAATGAATTTTTTCAGGCAAGGGGCAGAAGAAAACAGACTTTGAAAATCAGGAGTCCAAGGCAGAAACCACTCTTACCCAGGTTCAAGGACAGTACCATATGAGAAAATAAGCTTACCTTTTTTAAGGAGAATGGAGGTTAGGGAGGAGGAAGTGTTCTATGCAAGAGGCCGAAGATGTAAGGTTCAGGAAAGTTTGAGAGTACAGCGAAATATGAATTTGAAAGTATGCAATAGATTCATGGTGAGGTTAACTGACCTCAAACTTGCAAATAGAACTCTGAAGTCAAATTTGGGCACAGTCAATAGTCACAGTGGATTCAGCCTTTGTAAGATCTATTCTATCTAAAATACTCTTCTGATTCTGCTCCCGATTTGATAGACTTCTTATGGTTTTAGCTTAAATTTTCATTTCTTTTGGAGGCCTCCTCCCAATATCTGATTAATGTGTTATTTTTCCTCTTAGATTTTCCCAAAGATTCTATAACCATCCTTTTGTTATATCTAAATGCACTCATTAAGTTGTCCATTATCTGTTTTCCTGATTATTCAGCCCAAACAGTTTGTGAGAATATTTGTCTTGTCCAGTGTCATATCCCTAGCACCCATAAAGTAACAAGAACACTTCTAGTGATCAATAAATATTTGGTGAATTAATATTTTGGCTACATGGTGCTTGAGTGGCATTGCTTGAGATGGCTAAATCCAAATTGAATATCAGCCTTTTGATATCCTTCCACTTCAAGTTATTTCATTTTGCACATATTTTTCCAGAGTCAATTATTCAGACAAAGGTGATTTATTTTGATACCCAAAGCACTTTATAAGACTCTCTAAAAAAAGTCTAAAATTATTCTGCTGTGCTAATATTTTATACTGTCATCCTTTTAGAAAATAAAAGGCTTGGATTAGATTGTAGAAAAATCTCTTCATTACATGTAAAACATTTTTGCTGTTACCTACAATGAAGGTGACAAAAGAACAATTGCAAGGAAGAGGAACAGTCCTAAGAATGTTTTCATTGGTATCTATCCACTTCAACCCCAAGAGATAAAGGCAAAGATTAAGGCTCTAAGATGCTAGTAGGTGGCTGGTACTTTCTTGATGCTCAGTCAGTCCAAACAGATAACTCATTTGACATATTCAAACCACTCTTTGAATCACTGGTGGTCATTATTTGGTTAGATCATCCAGTGCAAGGTCATGCCTGCTGTTAAAATGAATTGGAGATTAATCAACAGGACTGCCATTTGAGAACTTCCTCCAAGGCTGCTTTGAAGAAAATAACATTGGTCTTGATGAGTGATCCTGAATACAAGTCCATAAATATTGGGGCATAGCCTGTATGCCACTAAAAATAACAAAAGTTTCAGGACTGGAGACATTGTCAACCACACTGTCATGAAAATCTATGGCTCCAGGACTCAATGGAGGTGGGACAATATTTAACAGGTGACCTTGACAGAAGGAGCCTGTGAGTACTTCAGCCTCAAATATATAGATCAGCTCGTTTTTATCAGGGATTTTCTTGGCTTGGTCTGCTAGTTTTTTGAGGTTCTTGATGAAGTATATGCCAGCTCCATACTCTGAGTCTGAGAAAAGGAAAAAAGTTAGAAGATTATTATGATCTGGCAAATGTTATTGCCTATTTGGGTACTATAATATATTCTCTCTCTAGTCCTTCAAATAATCACCTCCTCCTTGTTCCAAGTCCCTAAATCTGTAGCCACGTTGTTCCCAGAGACAAATGATCACTGATATCAACATAATAATAGAATATATTTGAATACACCATTACAGTTTATAGAGAAGTCTTTGGCTTTCCAAGAATTTTTATGCTGATTAGATTCAATCAATCTAGGATTTGAATTATTATCTCTGTTTAAAAGATAAAAAAATCTGAGATTCAGAGAAATTATGATTCAAGTCAACATTAACCAACCATCTGACATCTAACATAATAAATGGAAAGTTTTATTTATCTTAGAACATTGCCTGACTTCTACAAGCTATAAACTGTAACAACTCTTGAGAATAAAGCTTCAATCCAGGTAAGGTGGTGCATGCCTGCAAACCAAGCAACATGGGAGGCAGAGACAGGAGGATTGCAAGTTCAAGGCCAGCCTCAGCAACTTAGTGAGACCCTGTCTCAAAATCAAAACAAAACCAAACCAAAAAAAGAGGCTGGGGGGCTGGGATTGTGGCTCAGTGGTAGAGCCTAGCATGTGTGAGACACGGAGTTTCATTCTCAGCACCACATATAAATAAATAAAGGTCCATCAACACGTAAAAAAATTTATTTAAAAAGGGGGAGGGGTGCTGGGGATGTAGATAAGTGGTAAAACACCCCTAGGTTCAATCCCCAGTACTGTCTGGAAAAACACGGCTTGAAAAATAGCATCTAATAAGAGTAGTCAAAGTCATGGACACATTACAAGAAAAATAAGTCAAAATAAGGGGAATGATGAGCATATAAAATGTTAATGCCTCATTATTTAGGAAAAGCAACCTTGGATTTGAGGGACACAGAGATTCTAATCAGTAGTAAGGTATTCTGTACTACAGGGCAGGTGTGGTCATCAGATCTCATCATGACCTGGCAAAATAACTGACCAAGAATCCTCCACATGCTTCTGATTTAGGTTCCTGCTCATCACTCATCAGGCATTCTGGAGACTGTGATACTAAGAAGGATAGGCCTGATTCCAACCACTGAAAATGAATATTCTCCATTCTAGTATATTGTTTTTGATCTGCATTACTTTTTTCTTAATATATATGTTTTAGTTATAAATGAACACAGTATCTTTATTTTATTTATTTATTTTTATGTGGTGCTGAGGATCAAACCCAGTGCCTCACATGTGCTAGGCAAGCACTCTACCACTGAGCCACAACTCTGGCCCCTTAATCTGCATTACCTTTACAGTAATATTTCAAGGACACCCAAGAGACTGAGGGCCAGATTCTGAATCTCAAGGTAATCCCTGTGCAATGCCCTTTCTAACATTGCTTAAAGGTCCTGGGAGGAGTAGATCACAAGCTTAGCATGTGGAGGCCCTGGGTTCAATCTCCAGCACTGAAAAAAATAATAACTTTACTGAGAGGAAAAAACCAAACTTCTTTGAAAAGCTATATTCTGTATTATCATTCCTTCCTTCCTTTCTTCTTTCCTTCCCTTTTTTTTTTTAAAGAAAAAATTAGACACAACATCTTTGTTTGTATGTGGTGCTGAGGATCGAACCCAGGGCCGCACGCATGCCAGGCGAGCACGCTACCGCTTGAGCCACATCCCCAGCGCCCCCTTTTTTTTTCTACACTTAATATTGTTTTAGGCTCAAGACCAACACTGAAAAATAAAAATGCAATATGAGCCACATATATAATTTTAAATTTTTTAGTAGTTACATTTAAAAGGGTAAGAAGAAACAGACGAAATTCATATTTATTTAACCCATTAAATTTAAATGCTATTTCAACATTTAATCAATATCAAACTATATTTTACATTCTTTAGTAATAATTCTTTGAAAAATCCTGTATTTTATACTTAAAGTGCATCTCAATTCAGACACGCCATATTTAATATGCTTAGTTCCATACGTGGCTAGTGGCTACCATATTGAATAGTATAGCTCTAGAATTCAAAAGTGACTGAGATATGATTTCTGATTTTAAAATTTCACAAAGGCACCTGGACCTTCCTACATGTAAACAGATAGAGTGTAGTATAATTTTGTGTGGCAAGGTAATATTTTGAGATAAAAAAATCAAAGATTTTCTTTCTCAAGAGTTTCTTCTTGGGGCTGGAGTTTTGGCTTGATGGTAGAGCATTTGTCTAGCATGTGTAAGGCACTTGGTTTGATCCTCAGTACCACATTTAAAAAAAAAAAAAGTATTGTGTCCATCTACAACTAAAAAAATTTTTTTTAATTAAAAAAGGTAAAAATCTGAAGGATTCGAAGCATGTAGTATTTACTAATAATAAGAAGACAGAATAATATAAGATAATCCAAGAGCAATTTTCTCACTTCAGGACAAATAAAATTCCTTCCTTCCAGCTATTGAAAGAGAGGAATCATAAAAGATATAACTGGAGCTCTTGGGAACTTTGAGAAGGGGCTCACTTCACTGTCCCATTCCCTCAAAAGAGCCCTGGGAGTCAAGATAGGGCTGAACATTAGAAATCTCAGAACAACTCGCAGGATTCCCAGGGCAGAAGAGGCCATTGCCTGAGTGCTGGGTGCACTCTCTTATCCAGCCTCATGCCTGAGTAAAGCATAGCAATGCTGGGGAAGACTCCAGAACAGGTGAGTTAGTTACCATACGTGGTGGCCAGACGAGACCCTGCTTTCAGCTTGGAGGATAAACACGCTCAAATAATTATAGCACTTCAGGAGAAGCACAGATATAGCATGAAAAGGAATTTCCTCAGGGGAGACACAGAGTGGCTGATGCAGAGACTATCTAAGTGCAAAGGGCACAAGTGGAGGCTAAAGACCATAGCCCACAGGGCTTATCTGACAGGGGGCATGGAGACAGATGGAACAAGAGACAGGCAACCCTCTCCACGATGCCTCTGACACCATCTAGATCAGTCTCAGAGAGAAAGGGAGAAAAAGGACAAAATAGCAGGAACTCAATTCAAGCCCTGAAGGGACTAAGAAATTTCTCAAAATAACCAAGTTCAACTTGAATTGACAAGTTCTAGTTTTTCATATCTTTGAACATGGAAGCTTGATAGCTAGGCGAAGTTCTGCTACAGAGCCATAAAGAAAATAATTCCCACACCTATAAATTATAGTAGCTATTAAACATACAGATATTGCAATAAAAAGGCAGGAAGTATGGGAATATAGAGGAAGGGGCCAACCAGGAGAGGCCATTTGAGCTAGGTCTTTTTTTTTTTTTGGTGATGTGGGGGATTAAACCTAGGGCCTTGTAACAGATGAGGCAAACACTCTACCAACTGAGCTATATCCCCAGCCTTCAGCTACCTCTTAAAGAAAGAATAGGAACTTGAGTAGCTCAAAAGGCTGAAGAGGGAAGGCCTTCCAAATTCAAAGGCATAGAGGCTTGGAAGTATCCCGTTACTTAAGAGAATATGGTCTTGGAATTCTGGTTTTCAGAGTTAAGTATTCTGAGAAGAAAAAAAGCTCATGGCTAGAGGGTTAAGAAACATAGGGGGTGATGAAATCTGGTGGAAAATGTGGGATTTTCCTATATGCTCTACTAAGGAGTTTGGGCTTTTATAAATAACTAGGAATATAGATAGTAAGCAAGAACATAATTTTTTATCATAACTAGCCTAGTGCTACAAAGGGGTTTGTTTTGAGGCAAGGGAAGGACAATAGTCTAGGCCTAAGGGAAGAAATACTAAGGCATCTTAGTTAGAATAGAGAAGTAAAGTGGATTGAGACTATTATTTTATTTATTTTTATGTGGTGCTGAGGATAGAACCCAGTGTCTCACACATGCTAGGTAAGTGCTCTACCGCTGAGCCACAACCCCAGCCCTAGATTAAGACTATTATGAGACTTGAATCACATGGACCAGTATGAGGATGAGGCAAAGGAAAGAATGGAGGATGATAATAACTTTCATGCTTGGGAGACCTGGTAGGTGGATGGTGATGGCATTAGCCAAATCAGGAAGTAAGAAAACATAAGGCATATTTCTTAGGGAAAAGCAAGGGCAAGAAAAGAGTTCAGTTTAAGATGCCTATGGGACAGCTAGATAAAAATGTCCCCAAATCAGTCAACTATCTAGACCTGCACATCAGGAGAAATGGGGGTTAGAGTGAGAAATTTATAAGTCATCCTCTTAGAGGAATTGAGGCCATGGGAATAGGTGCCATCACCCAGGGGACACTGTGGAGGAAAAAAAAAGTAGACTTCCTTCAGAATGTAGGAGAATACCACCATTTAAAGGGTGGACACACTAGATGATAAATTATAAGGGCAAGAAGTCTTTGCTTTTCACTTACTGCTATATCTCTTACACCCCAGCCCAAGGCCTGATTCATGGAATGTGCTTAATGAATGTGCAATGAATGAATTACGATAATAAGGGAACTGCACATGTGTAGGCTACTTTTTGTTGCATTCAACCAAGTCCTGCAAGCAAGGGATGAACCCAGAATATGACTGGCTGGAATGCAAGTATAGAAAGAAAAAAAATAAAGTTTTACTAACAGAAGCCTCCCCTGCCTATGGCTGACCACTTAAATTGACTGAGAGAACACTGCAAGGCTGAAAAAGTTAGAAGCTTTCGTACTCCAAATGAGAACAGCTTCAGTAGTGATAAGAGGGGTGTCTCCTGGGCTTGTCTAGAACCTTCAGTTTATAGAGTTTTCACAACTCTACAGAGATGAGTCCATTGGTGCAGGTTACATTATGGGTTCTGTCTCCCCAGGCAATTTTCTTTCTGAATGACCTCTAGGCAGTGATCATGAAGCTAATGGGCAGCGGGTGGGCAAGAGCACAAAGGCCAATAGAAAAAAACAATTCTTGAGGCTTAAAGACTATATGGAGGGCTGGGGATATAGCTCAGGGGTAGAATACTTGTCTGACTTGGACAGGCCTGATTTCTATCAGCACTGAAAAAAAAAGGAAAAAAGAAAAGAAAGAAAGACTATATGGAGACAAGATCTTCCTTAGATTATGAAGACATACAGTTGAACAGAAGGGAATAAGCTCCATGCCTGCTAAGCTTTTAAAAAAGGAACCATATTGCTGAAGAAATCACAAGTCTGGATGCATCATCCTGAGAATGTTCTAAAGTTTGAGGCAATCCAGGCCCCCCTGGTAAGCAGTGGGCCTAAAAATGGTCAAGGGCCACAACATACAAGGAAGATTTTTTCCCAAGTGTGAAACAAGGGTCTTATGCCACTCCCAGAGGAAGCTCTCATACATTCCCGTCCAGCAGCACATGATAAGAACTGTGGGCCAGTGACTATGACATGTTTTCCCTTTCCTCTTTCATATGAGTTTTCGATATAGTCTTCCTGCTGCTTCTCACATCATTATCTAATGAGCACGTGCGAGCAATACCTCCCCATCACACCTTAAAATAAACAGCCTGAGCTAGAGACTGATGAAAAGGAGACCGGATAAGACTTTGGTTTGGCCTTGTTTTGGTGCGCATCTTAGATGTTTTGGGAAGAAAGATATAAATTGATGTTGGATTAGAAATTAGCAGTGCCAGCCACAAGATTGAAAAGAGGGTCCTCACCAGATTTGGAAAATGGGAAGATCTTGATGAGAATAGTTGTAGTTGAAATGGTGTGGGGAATGTAGAGAAACCAGTTAAGGAGAAAATGGAAGCTGTGGCTTTAAGACTGTGGCTATGAAGGAATCTTACTGCTTCCCCTTCCCTGACTGCACTCAAAAAAAAAAAAAATTCTTGGTGGAGATTCATTATCTATTTCTTTCTTCTTTTGTTTCTTTTCTTTCTTTCTTTCTTTTTTTTTTTTGGTACAAAGGGATTGATTAGGGGTACCCAACCGTTGAGCCACATCCTCAGTCCTATTTTATATTTTATTTACAGACAGGGTCTCACTGAGTTGCAAAGCACCTCATCATTACTGAGGCTGGCTTTGAACTTGAGATCCTCCTGCCTCAGCTTCCAGAGCCGCTGGGATTACAGGCGTGCACCATCGTGCCAGGTCATTTATCTATTTCCAACCCCAGGAATTGTCTATATTCAATTTTCACTCCTGGTATTACCTATGTTCTCTTTTGGACAAAGGAAATGTGATTTTTAGATCTTCTGCTTTCTAGGAACAGAGACTATTAAAACTGGCTCCACAGCAAGAATCATACTACAGTTTTAAAGGTAAAGATCACATGGTTTTTGATTTTCTTTTTTCTTTTCTTTTCTTTTTCTTTTTTTTTTTTTTGGTGCTGGGGATTGAACCCAGGGCCTTGTGCATGTGAGGCAAGCACTCTACCAACTGAGCTATATCCCTAGCCCCAAAAGATCACATTTAATGGACCAGACAAAACCAAGTTACACTGCTAAAGACCCATCCATGATTATGACTTAAGTTCTTAGCCTCCTTTGGAGAGATCTAAAGCCAGAATTTTTCACTAGCAACTGAAGAGGAAAAGGTACAATATAGAGATTATCTAATTTTGTACAATTGAAAAGAGACATGGAAGCTACACAGAGGACTCTGAGAAGGATCCTAAAATGCTATTCATTTCACCTGCCAGGTTATACTTAATTCATTCACTAGCAGGCTATAGGAAATAAGAGGATAAAAACCAAAAGAAAACCAACTGTCATTTTTTTCCTTTTCTTTTTTGAGATGGGGTCTTGCTCTGTTGCCCAAGTTGGTCTTAAACTTTTGGGCTCAAGCAATCTCTTGCCTCAGCCTCCCTAGTAGCTGTGGCTACGGGTGCACACACCAGCAAGCCCAGCTGAAGACCAACTATCCTAAATTTAGGAAAATATCCTTTTAACTAAAGGATGAGGATCATACTTTGGTGTTGATTATAATTTTATTAAGATAAATAAGCCAAAAGGGGAGGGGGACCCCCAAAGTGTTTTCTGCATATAGGACACAGAAACAGAAATGAGAAAAAAACAGTAAATCAAAAATCCTACTGCTCACATTATCGTCAAAATGAGCCCATTGTCAACAAAAGACATATCAACAAAAGATATAAAGAAAATTAAAAATACAACCCTTTCTAAGACTACCTCTCAATTGCAGTCACAAATGATCCCCTCCCCAAAGCAACAAATGCTATTAGTGGTGAGCCACCTGCTCATGTCTGGTCTCACCAATTCCCACATGATCAGGGCTGACACCTACCACAAGGCACCGAGTACAAACTTTGAAAGCCGACTCTGCATACCACATTGCAGAACTGGTGTGGAACCTGCTGAAACAACCTGTGGCTCACAGGCTCTTTAGAAGTTCTCCCTTCCATCGTTTTCTTCTTTCTTTGGAAGGCAGCCCAAAGAACCGCATTGTCTATTGCCTCCACCTAAAACCAAAGGGGAAAAAAAAAAAAACTGGGCACCTATTCAATTGCCTCTTGAACTTATAAAGGCATTTATATGCACATTACTTTCATGCAATTTGCTTTTTATATAAAGTTGCATAACAGTCTCTCCTGCCCCTAATCCTTTCTTGGTTTTGACTTCTACCTCTCAAAATCCTCTGTTACTTCTTCAATTGATTCATGCAATAAAATTTCACTGGGCAATCACGATATGTTAGGCACAGGTAACAAAAGCATTGACAACAGACATAGTGTCTTGTCATGAGCAAGTCATGGGCTGTGTGTGTGAGCTATGAGCATTTGAGCACGTGAGGGGACTGGACTGATGTTGCTGTTCTGACTGGGCTGTGTTATGTATGTGTCCTTTTCCATCGCTCTGCCTTTGATCCTACACAGCACCAGGCTTTTCCAGGCGTCAGTCAATCTGCTGAGCACAAGACATCACCAAGCAACCCCCTGAAACCCAATCTTTTGCCTTATTTGGGTTGAACTTTCTCGAATGTCTTCCCCTCAAAAAATAGGATGGTCTCAGGTGTGCTGTCTCTCTTTCCGAGGGACCCTTAAGGTCAAAAGACATCCCTGATTCCTGCAAGCAAAAGGTATTTCTGTGTGTTGAGTGCTTCTTTCACCATTTTCTTGGCCAGCTCTGTGAACCCAGCTCAGGTAGCCAGCCCAGCTAGCTGGCGATAGAGTCTGCTCTTTTAAAGTTCATAGCTTAGTGAGAGATAGAAATAGTTAACAATTATAGCATGATAAACACTATTCTATTTTCTTTCTTTTGTTTTGATCAAAGATAGGGAGATCACTGCTTCCTGGATCTTGAATCTATGCTTCTGAACAGCCAAACATCATTTCTACATACTGATTCATCTATACCCCTTGTGCCTGCCCTTCTCCCAGTCTTACTCCTAGGATTCAGGGCCATTGAGCAGCTAGTTTAAACTCTTTGTTAAACGAGCTTCTCTTCTGGCTACAGAACCAAGTAATTAATAGCAAGAGAAGCCAAATCTATGCCTTAATTAGGTATACCTTTATAACCTGCAAACCATGTTTTTCAAACTGTTTCTTTCGATCCAGAAGTTCTTCAGTCCAAGGTGCTGGATATCGTAGAAATGTGATTTTTTTTTTCATTTCATCCTGGTTTTTTGTTTGCTGATCAATCCATTGTCCTAAAAATGAGTAACACAAAACCTTGTCTTAGCGCTCTGTGAGAAGGGAAGAGTTTGTAAAGGGATTTAATGAAACAATTCCTAGAAATTTGAAGGAAGAGATAGGCTAGTTTAAAGAATATGCCTCATATTGTCTATGTTATGCTCGAATTCGGGACCCCCAAAAGACCACCAGAGACCAAGATCGATGTAAGCAGCAAAGAGGTGTTTATTGCGAGCTAGCTCGGTCCTCAGTGCGCACACAGCAACTAGTGACACTGAGAGGCCCCGAGTCCAGGGTTTGCAGCAGTTTTATTATACACTCTTTGGGGAAGTCAGGGACTTCACATACATCATAGCTTCTCTTAGCAAATCATCACACACCGTGGGAAAAACCATAAAACAACTCTAAAATATGATTAGCACATTCACTGACGGGAACAAGTTGGGTAGGGGTGATTGGTTAGTACAAGAGGGGGAATTCGTTTGAACTGATTGGTTTAAGCCACGAGGGGAGTAGTGCTGAACTACATGGTTTCCCAACATGTTATCAAGCACCATAAACTACTGGGAGGGTCATCTCACATCCCAGGTATTTTCCCTGTCTCATGCTGATTGGTGGCTGCTAGGGGGTTGCTCTGGGTCCCCACCTAGCCTGACTGAGTCAGGGACACCCAGCACAGCAGACCTCTCCTGTTATTTGTAGATAAACAACTCAGCAGGGTGGGTATGTACTAGGAGTGCTCTGTGGGTCTTTCCAAGGACAAAGGTCACGCCCCCTTACTTGGACAGGCTTTGCTCTGAGGTAGAGGCTGGTTTTTCAATAGCACCCTCACCACTGAAATAATTAGCACAATTTTGTAAATAAGGAAATCAAAATTCAGAGAAATAAATAACTTTTCTAATATCACAAAGCTAGTAAGTAAGGATCTAAGATAGTAAACCTGACTTTCATAAGTGCTTTCTTTAAGGAGACAAGGAGAATAGTGGGAATGTGTAGCACTCATAAACAATCCCAAGCAAGAAGAAGGAAATTTGAAGATTAAGAGTCTATGGTTCAAGGGAAACAGGGTGACCTTTCTTTCCCACCCTAGACAGAGTTATCTGTCCCTGAGTTCACACCCACCATAGAAATGAAGTAATCCAGACTTTGGGGATGGCTCCAGAAGATCTCAGAAATGGCTATCTCCCAAATTAACAAGCAAATTACAACTCCAACAGAGAACACATAGAATGTAGCTTTGGAGTACCCCTTTAAAAGCCCCCTGTTTCACTGAGCTTGGTGGCACATTCCTGTAATCCCAGCGGTTCCAGAGGCTGAGAGGAAGATTGTGAGTTCAAACTCAGCTCCAGCAATTTAGTGAGGCACTAAGCAACTCAGTGAGACCCTGTCTCTAAATAAAATATTAAAAAGGGCTGGAGATGTGCTCAGTGGTTAAGTGCCCCGGGCTCAATCCCTGGTACCAAAAACAAAACCCGTTTCGGTGAGAAGCTGACGTGACTCCGTTTTTGAAAAAAACAGCCTCTACCTCAGAGCAGGGCCGGTCCAAACTGCAGTGACCAGATAGCCTTGATCAGCAATGAAAGATCAAAGAATGCTTGAGACCTAATTTCGGACCATAGCAACAACCAATCGCAACAACCAATCATATCTGAAATGCCAGGTAACCCTCCCAGTAGTTTGATTGATAACATGTTAGGAAACCGTGTAGTTTAGTATATACACCCCTCGTGGCTTAAACCAATCAGTTCAAACGTATCCACCTCTTGAACTCACCAATCACCCTTACTCAACTTGTTCCCGCCAGTGAAGTGCTAATTAACGTTAAGAGTTGTTGTTTGATTTTCCCCCGAGGTGTGGAATGATTTGCTGTGTGATGTTGTGACACATAGATTATCCCCCCCCAAAAAAAAAAACTATAAATCCTCACTGAACTAAGGGGTCAGGACTCACTCCTTGGGACCGCTGCGTCGGAAACGGTTGTGAGTCCAGGCTGGAGCTTGCAATACTCTTGTGTGATTGCATCTGATTCGGCTCCTGGAGGTCTATTGGGGTCCCACGAATCTGGCATTACACCTGCTGATGGGAAAATCATAGCCTCTGGGACAGGAGTCCCTGTGTTTCTCCTTTGCTAGCAAAGCAATAAGCCTTTTTGTCAAAATCATGTTCTCGTTATTAGATTGGCACTGGGGACTAGGACCGAGCCTTAGGTAACACAATCTGTGATCCTCCTGTCTCAGTCTCTTGAGTTGTTGTGATTACAGTTCTGTGCCACTGCACCAGGCGCTCTTGTCTCTTGTTTAATAAAAATCGTCTTTATAAAGCTACATAAATATTATGTGGCAAATAAATGCTACAGAATTTAAAAAAAAAGTCTACAGTGTCCTTCCCTTCCTTCCTTCCTCTGTAACAGTGATCCACTTTATACTTTGAATATAGCCCCTGCTGCTCTGCCACTGCAACTTATTTTTAAAATGGGCAAATTTCTTTCTCTTCCTCTCTCTGCTCCTCCCTAATCTCTCCCCCTCCCTAATCTCAGGGAAAACAGGATTACTTTTCTTACCCATTTGAGGCAGATTTATCTATCCTTGAGTACACACCCACCATAGAAATGAAGTATCCAGACTTTGGGGATGGTACCAGAAGATCTCAGAAAGGACCCTCTCCCAAACAAGCAAATTACAACTCCAAGAGAACACATGGAATGTCACCTTTGAATCACCTCTTTAAAAGCCCCCTATTCCTGCTGATGGGTAGAATCATAGCCTTTGGGACAGGAGTCCCATGTGTCTCCTTTGCTATCAAAGCAATAAACATTTTTCTTTTTTCTCAAAACCATATACTCGTTATGGCATCCAGGACAAAGACCGAGCTTTCAGCAACACCTCATCCTTGTCTCCCCTCCTTTTTCCTTCCTTCCATCCCTCCATCCTTTCCTCTTCCTTCTCCATTCTCCTTCCTTTCAAAAACTAAATGGACAACCTGGTTTTGTCCAAACAAGTTCTTTACTGAACTGTATATACAGGTGGACCACATGGAAAAAAACAAACATAAAAAGCTTGCCTTATTTCAATTGAATTTATAAGGTATAATATTAGAGTTTACTTCAACAAACATTTACCAAGATCCTACTATATGCCAGGCCATGTGTGGGGTACTGGGGATACAAAGATCTATAAAACTTCTGTCAGAAGCACCCACCACAAAGGATTTAAGAACAGCATAAAACAGAGGTGATGTTTAACCTCTATTTTTAAAAATATTTTTGGTTGTAGTTGGACACATTACCTTTATTTTTACTTGTTTTTATTTCTATGTGGTGTCGAGCATCGAACCCAGCGCCCCACACATGCCGGGCGAGTCCTCTATCACTGAGAGCCACAACCTCAGCCCATTAGCCTCTCTCTCTTTTTTTTTTTATTAATTTTCTTTCTTTTTTAAAAAATTTTTTATTGTTCTGATGGATATTCGATGTTTCCTGTAATGATAGCATGTCAAATTATCCATTTTATTAAAAATGTAAATTTTAATCTAAGAGAGGGTGGGTTTGCATGAAATGCTACTGTGAAATAATATGCTTAATTGTCTAATACCAAAAACACCATCATTCAGTGGAACAAGCGACTTTCATGATTCTAAATTGTTAGTAGTTGAGATAAAGAGTCAACCTCATGAATGTAGTTAATTTAAAGTAATGCCACAAGTTATACAGATCAATGTTTCTTTGTCTCCTGTTTTCCTGAGCTGATGATAGGGGTTAGTTTAATTATCCACATCCATTATGTTTCATAATCTAAGTGGAAATCATAATCTTTCTCATGATCATGTATTATTTTTTTCCATGTATTATTTTTTGTCCAAGTTTTTTAACACTGGGTTTTCTATGGAATGTGGATACAATGTTTATTACAAATGTACCCACTTTGACCATTTCTTCTGAGAAACTGATGTGACTCCATTTTTGAGAAACTAGCTTCTACCTCAAGGCCCGTCCAGAGGGAGGGGGCGTGACCCTTGTCCTTGGAAAAACCCACAGACACTCCTAGGCACATACCCACCCTGCAGAGTTGTTTAACAGGAGGGATCTGCGCCACCAGGTGTCCCTGACTCAGTTATGCTAAGTGAGGACCCATAGCAACCCCCTAGCAACCACCAATCAGAGTGAGACAAGGAACATATCTGAAATGCTAGGTGACCCTCCCAGAAGTTTCGGTGATTGATAACATGATTAGGCCACCTTGCAGTTTAGCGTATACACTCTTACAACCCAATCAGTTCAAATGTATCCACCACTTGAACTAACCAATCACCCTTACCCAACTTGTTCCCACCAGTGAATGTGCTAATCAATGTTAAGAGTAATTGTTTGATTTTCCCACGGTGTGGAATGATTTGCCGTGTGATGCTGTGACGCATAGAGTATCCCCCAAAAAACTATAAATCCTCATTGAACTAAGGGTCAGGACTCATCCTCAGGATCACTGCATCCGAAACCATTTTGAGTCCAGATTCAAGCTTGCAATAAAGACTCTTCTTGTGTGTTTGCATCGGATTCAGCTCCTGGAGGTCTACAAATCTGGCATTACACTTCCTAACTTGTTTTTACAGATGCATAGTGAAAATAAGGTATCCTTGGAAATCAAGCATTTGAGTTTTTGAACCTCTTACTAAGTCCAACCTCTACATTATAATCAGGAATCTTTCTAAAATACAAATCTTATCTGATTTTATCTTTGATTACAAACCTTCAAAGTGTAAGAGTAAAAGAAATTGAAGTTAAAGTGTAAAAGACTGGGCATTGTAAAGTTTCTAAGCTGCAAGGCCTGAGTTAAAAAGTAAAGGACCAGGTATTGTTAAGTTCCTATGCTACACCCAAAACCTGAAATTCCTGTAGCTGTTAGGACAATACCCGGAACTGCCCAGTAAATACTCCCCCTGACCATCTGGTTGTTTAATAACCTAGGACCCTGTGCGGCTTGGCACGTAGGCATTGCAGGGCCTGAACCAATAAGTTTGAATGTGTACCCCGATTTAGAACTGACCTATCACCCCCGCCCGACCTGTTCCCGCCAATGAATGTACTAATCAAGTTTGAGAATTGTTGTTTGATTTTCCCGCGCCTCATGATGATTTGCTCTGATGTATGCAAAACCCCCGTCCTCCCCAAAAAGTGTACTTAAGCACTGCTCAACCCCTGCTCTGGGCTCTGAGCTGCTCTCCCTTGTTGAGTAGGCACGGAGCCCCAGCGCGCTGGATTGGATCCTCAATAAACCCCTTTTGCTGTTGCATGAGCCGGTCTCTTGGTGGTCTCTTCCTCCGACGTTTGCCGGACCCTTACAAAAGTACCCTGGTTTGCTTACAGAAAACATCTATACCTGTAATTCCAGCTACTTAGGAGATTGAGGCAGGAGGATTGCAAATTCAAGGCCAGCCTGGGCGACTTCACAATACAGTGTCCCAAAATAAAAAATAAATAAAAAGGGCTGGGGATATAGCTCAGTGGAAAAGGGCCTCTGGGTTCAATCTCTAGCGGCTCCAGGAAAAAAAAAATCTGAATTTTCTCATGTGATTTATAAGGCCTTATATAATCTAGGCTCTACTGGAGTCTGAATTCTTGAAACTTACTTTCTTTGCCTAGCTAACTGCTACATATTATTTAGTTCTCCATCTATGACACCTCCTTTGAGAAGCTTTCCTCTGACACCTCAAGTCTGAAGGTAAGGTGCCTCTCCTCACTGCTCACAGAGCACTTTCACCCTCCTCTATCATTACTTACCTGTTCCCATATCAAGTAGACTTTGAGCAGGAAAAATATTCACCTTGTTTATCACGAGCACCTAGCACAATACATGGCACATACACACACCATGGAAGCAATATGCAGTCATTGAATAAATGAATGAAATAATCTGCTGTTTCTTCAGGTAGCATTTTAAAAGGCATAATTTCCTAAGTAGTTCCAGGGTTCTGTAAAAAAAATCTCTCCAGACCAAATTCCCACAATTATCCTGATGAGTTTAGCCCCACTGAATGGAGATATTTAAGTGTATCTCATAGCACCAGTGAATACTTTCATTGGTCACAGGGTTCCAAGTAAGCGATTTTATGGTTCCTAATCCTGACAGCAATGAATAAATACAATTAGGCTCAATAAAAGAAACAATAAAGTGGAATGTGTGTACGTTTAAATGCTCCATTTGCAGAAATAGGGATGTGCAGTTTTTACCCTGCGCTTGGCTTAGGTTTTACCCTAGGCTTTCAATTCATTCACCTCTCAGGCAATCCATGTCATTATATGTAAACCCAATGGGTGTGTTAGTGTGTGCATGTGTGTTGTGTGTGTATGTTTTCATTCCTTAACAAATAACCCTGATGGTAGAAAGAGAGCCCAAAACTGCCTCATAAAAGTTTACAACCACTGGGGATACAGCTCAGCTGTTAGAGTGTTTGCCTAGCATGCACAAGGCCCTGGGTTCAATCCCCAGCACCACACAAAAAAATCATGACCTAGGATCTGGAGGTGTAGCTCAGTGCTAGAGCACTTGCCTGGCGCATGCCAGGCCCTGGTTTCAATACCCATTGCCATTTAAAAAAAAAGAAAAAGTTTATGACGAAAAAGTTTACGACCTAACACAGAACCAGAATAGTTTGCTCTCTCCTTTTCCATTCTATTTCTTATCCACATTTGTACAAACCCATTCATACCCAAAAGAAGAAACAGTTGGTAGAGCCGACTCTTAACTAAACAGGAAGTTACTCACCTGATAAGATCCAAAGGTTTTGCTCCTTTTCCCTTGTCACTTCCTCCTGAACTTCACAGAGCATATGTTCAATGTTCATAACCACCTCAATGAGGTCATCCCTGGCTCCTCTGATCTCTAAATTTGCCTTTCCGGGACTGATAACCTCTGTAATGGAGACACTTGAGGTTTTCTGAAGTTTAGATAAAATGTCATGTTCCTTTTTCCCAAGGTGGAGAATATGCTTGTTCTCAATGGTGTGGATCTTCTGGGATGTCAGTATCCTTTGGATCCATGCTTTGGCCTCACACATCTCTTCCTTATTCCATCCCATCAGATCGATGGCAGGAGACCCCACTTCAAGCCCATTTTCTCTTTGCTCCTCGCTGGTCCCCTGGGGGACTGAAAGAACTATCATAAGCAATCATGGAAGTTTGGTGGTTTTTAAAATAGTACAGAACAAAACACCATGGCTAGTATTTACCCCAAGGATATCTTCACCATTATCAGCACTAGTAGCTCCTATTAAGAACCTATCTTTGAAAGCTGCACTGGATATAAAGACAATCTATATGCATTATTTAGAGCCTCCTTGGGAGCACAGAGTTTAGCTCTGGAGGAGCTAGTTTTATCATATCTGGCCTCTACTATATGGCATTTGTCAATTCACAGATGAATTCACCTTGTGATCTCAATCTGGATATCAACTAAGTATTGTTTCCTGATGAATGAAATTTTCCTTAACCTCTTGCTTCTGCCAATTTTAAAATCAAAGATCTCTGAAAGCCATACAATTCAAGGAGTGAAATTTATTGTTTTTGGTTTTGATTTTGGTACCTAGAATTGAACCCAGGGGTGCTTAACCACTGAGTCACATCCCCAGTCCTTTTTATTTGGAGACAGGTGTCACTAAGACTCACTAAGTTTCTGGCTGGCTTTGAATTTACAATCCACCTTCCTCAACCTCCCAAGTCACTGGGATTACAGTGTGAGCCTAGCATAAAACTTATTTTAAAAAACAAACCCACATCTCTGATAATAAAAATAACATATGCCTATAACTGGAAAACTAGAAAATTATCAGAGTATATTGAAAAGAAGAGATGCCTATAATTCTACTACCCAGAAATCCTTATTATATCTTATCTTTGTGTAATAGGACGTCTTGGCCCTTCTTCTGCTTAAAGGATAGAGTTGGGCATCACGCTTCTTCATCTCCACAGCAAGAATTTAAAGCTTAGCTACTGCTGCTGGAGATGATATATTCTAGCAGAAAAAGAAAGGGAACCTTATTCTAATCACCTATCTGTAGTCTTCATAAACGATAGAGATATTCAAGCAACTCTGAAACTCAAATTACAAAAAAAAAAAAAAGTGTTGGGGGTGGGGGGAGGGAATGGACTAATTGAGAGGAAATTAAGGGCTGGGCCATAGTTTAATGGCAGGGCACTTGCCTAGCACATGTAAGGCACTGGATTCTATCCTTAACACCACATAAAAATAAACTTAATAAAATAAAGGCATTCTGTCCATCTACAACTACAAATTCTTTTTTTTAAAAAAAGAGAGGAAATTAATAGATCATGCACTATCTACAATATATGAAGAATTCCCTAAAATTATTAAGAAAAAGAAACAACCCAATAGTTACTTGGGCAAAATGTTTCACAGGAAAGGAAACATGAATGACCTGTATCTATGTGAAAAAAAGATGCTTTTCCTTACTGGCAATGAGGGAATTGAAAAATCATCTACCAAACTGGAAAAAATTTTGACTCTGGGGCTTGGGCTATAGCTCAGTGGGTAGAGCTCTTGCCTAGCATGTGTGAGGCACTGGGTTCGAGCCTCAGCACCACATAAAAATAAACAAAATAAAGGCATGCTGTCCATCTACAACTACAAAAAATTTTTTATTTATTTTTTTTAATTCTTGACTCTGACATTCAAGTTGTCAGCAAGGATCTGTAGAGCAATGTAACTCAGAGCTTTACAGGAATAAATTTTAGAACAATTTTTGAGGGACAAAAGTAAGTTGAACACTTACTATATTGTAGCATTGTTCCAAGGGCTTTACATGTATTATTTTATTCAATCTTCAAGACCAAACTCCCATTGTACAAATAAGGAGAACTTTGTAAGACTCAGAGTGTCATTAAGTAACGTGGCCACGGTTATGGAACCAGTTAGTGGTGGCCATGAAGTCAACAGGTATGGACATTTGACTCCAGTGCTCGCACAATTACGCCTATTATTAGTGACCCTGGAACAATAAGATAAGCAGCATCTTTATCCTGATATTGTACTTGGTTCGCCTCAGAAACTATGAAAAAGAGCTAGGATAGAACTAGAAGTAAGAGGGAAAGGAAGGCCTCTCTCTGATAAAAATAAAAGCCCATGTTTTACTTTTTTGAATTTTTTTTTCCATTTATAAGCTAAAATTTTAGACAATAGTAAGAAAATATTTTAATTGGAGGCATGCTTTTTGTTGTTTTAAACTCTTGTTTAGGAGCATATATTACATTTTAAGAGAAAATTTAAAACATCCAAGATGGGACTTCATTCATCTGCCATTATTAGGAAAGAAGAATTGTTCAGACCACTAAAGGATACTCCTCTAGCACCAAAACACATTTAACTATTTATTATCTAAATAATCCTAATGAAAACATGCTTCTCTGCCTTTCTAACTAGTTTAACCTTTCCTTGGTAACTGAGATGAAGATCAATCATTATGACTGTCAATTATTGTCCTGTGCTATCTAATTCCTTTACAGATACCCTCAATAATTACTGAAACAAATGGTGACCCTTGCCCTGAATCAGGGCACATGAGCCTCATCTAAAACACTCCCTCTTACCTAGCTACCCTGTATTCCTTGTGGTTTGCTCCTGTGGGTTTTCCTGGGTGCTGTCACCCTCACCACCACCACACACATACACTGGCTATTGAAAATCTTGCCATCCTCAAAGCTCAATATAGAACCATTCTTATCCATGAAGCCATTCTTCTTTTTCTTTTTGTGTACTGGGGATTGAACCCAGTGGTACTTAACCACTGAGCCATATCCCCAGTCCTTTTTTGTATTTTATTTAGAGACAGGGTCTCATTGAGTTGCTTAGGGATTCCCTAAAATGCTGAGGCTGGCTTTGAACTTGAGATCCTCTGGCCTCAGTCTCCCAAGTTACCACTCCTGGCCATGAAGCCATTTTTGATCCCTCCCAGTCAGAAAAAATCTCCTCCTCCTCTGGGCCACCAGGGAAGTATGTCCATCTTCCCATTCATCTTTTGTCCCCTGACATTTGTTTAATGTTTTGTAATTTACAGACGATCTTTACATACATAACCTCCAATTATTCTCACAATAGTCAATTATTATCATCATAATTTTACAGACAGATGGATAGGCTGATAAAAAGCACAGTCCCAGGCCAAAACCCTTGAAATTCCTCCTTCTTCACTTTTAGAACTGTTGGATCATTGAACATTCCTGTTCAGTTCACTCAAATTCCACTGAAGGAATACAGTTATGAGACAAAGCTAACCCTCGCCTGCCACTAACAACCAGAATTGGTTTAATCCAGGGATCCCAAACCTAAATCAGCTGTAAAACTTATTAGGGAGCATTAAAAAATATCTGCTTGGTCCACACTCAAAGTTTCTGAATCTGAATCTGTACAGTTGGGACCTCTCCCTCCCCCCCTCAACCGCGCGCGCGTGTATGTGTGTGTGTGTGTGTGTGTGTGTGTGCCTGTGTGTTAAAGTTTCCATCATGATAGTGTTGGGTTAACCCATTTATCTGGTATTACTCAGAGGCGTTTTCTCTAATTAGTAATAAGTAACCCATTTAGATATTTGGGGCATAAAGTCTTACTAGCTTAGCCAGTTTATGGAGGGCAGCTTTGTTATGAGAAAAAAATTATAAACACTTATTTATAAATGAACTGCCCACGCTGTGGATTATCTTTTTTTTTTTTTTTTTTAAGTTTTCGGTGGACACAGCATCTTTATTTTATTTTTATGTGGTGCTGAGGGTAGAACCCAGCGCCCCGCACATGCCAGGCAAGCGCGCTACTACTTGAGCCACATCCCCAGCCCACTGTGGATTATCTACTGCAACTTAACTTCTCCATCAGTATCATGAAATTAGATTAAGCAAAAATAGAATCACGGTCAGGTATAAAGCAGGTCAGGTGTCTAGTAGGAGCACAATGAACTTTATTGGCTTATTCTCCTTTCCTGTATTAGTTCAGATGATCAAGAACAGAATGAACCTATGATGGGAAACTCTACTTCTAGATCTGTGAATTTCCTACTCACCATTGTAAATGTTACGATTCAGCATCTTGTAATTCTTTGTCATTTCATGACTGAAAGCCTACAATAAGCAAAACAGAGCAGAGAGTCATGAGCAGGGTATACAGTCATTGTCACCAAAATCTCTCTTTATCTGTACCAAACACACTTGACCTCATCTGCCTCTCAATACCCATCTCCAGTGCCACAAATCTAAAAGGAAAGTCCTAGGGAACAGCAAGTGCAGCACCATACTCTATTAGAACACCTAGGGACAACAAGGAAGGAAAAACAAATATAGTACAAAAAAAAAAGGAGAATATATACTCCAAGGCAAAAAATAATCACCTATTAATTCATTCATTCATTCAATAGACCTTCATTTCCTGCTTATTATAAGTATTATAATATTAGGCATGAATTAAAGCTGTAAATATGTACTCTTCCTTGTTCAAAATTGATACAATGGGTAGTACTTTATTGAAAAGGTGCTATTTATTAATGAGGTAAAGTTTAGATTTTGCTTTGCATCTAAGTGTTAACAATAAGTTTCTTAATCTATAGGATTTCTTTTTTTCAGATATTCATTTTTATTTATTTATTTTTAATTTTTAATTCTAATTTGTTATATATGACAGCAAAATGCATTACAGTTCATATTATACATATAGAGCACAATTTTTCATATCTCTGGTTGTACACAGAGTATATTTACACCCTTTGGGTCTTCTTACATGTACTTAGGGTAATGATGTCCATCTCATTCCACCCTCTTTTCTAAACCCATGCCTCCTCTCTTTCCCTCCCTCCCCTTTGCCTTAACCAGAGTTCTTCTGATCCTCCCATGCTCCTCCTCCTAACCCTACTATGAATCAGCCTCCCTATACCAGAGAAAACATTTGGCATTTGATTTCCTGGGATTGGCTAACTTCACTTAGCATTATATTCTATAGGACATCTTTATAAATATTTTTTTTTCAGTTGTAGATGGACACAATACCTTAATTAATTATTTTTATGTGGTGCTGAAGATCAAACCCAGTGCTTCACACATGCTAGGCAAGCACTGTACCTCTGAGCCACAATCCAGCCCAGACAATTTCTTCATAAATTATCATTTCAGCTGTTATTTTCAGAGCAAAAAGTCCTTGATATTACCATATTTAGTTACCTGGAGAAGTTATAACACCCTCCTCATCCAAGAACTCAGAAATAAAACAAATAAGGTACATTACCTGTTGATAAATAAACAAATAAGAACTGCCAGTCAGGTGTGGTGGCACACCCCTATAATCCCAGCGGCTTAGGAGGCTGAGGCAGGAGAGTCTTGAGTTCAAAGCCAGCCTCAATAACTTAACGAGGCCCTAAGCAACTCAGCAAGATCCTGTCTCTAAATAATATATTAAAAAGCTCTGGGGATGTGACTTGGTAGTTAATCGCCTCTGGGTTCAATCCCCAATACCAAAAATAAATAAATAAATCACCTCTCTCTAGAAGGTCATTTTAAAAGTCAGAATGTATTTATAGGGTTAGAAATAATCAGGCAGCTGATGAAATTATTCTATATTTAGAAGACCTAAAAAACTCCACCAGAAAGCTTCTAGAACTCATAAATGAATTCAGCAAAGTAGCAGGATATAAAACCAACACCCATAAATCAGTTGCATTCCTATACGCCAATGATGAATCAATTGAAAGAGAAATCAGGAAAACTATCCCATTCACAATAGCCTCAAAAAAATAAAATATTTGGGAATTAATCTAATAAAAGAGGTACAAGATCTCTACAATGAAAACTACAGAACACTAAAGAAAGAAATTGAAGAAGACTTTAGAAGACGGAAAGACCTCTCATGTTATTGGATAGGCAGAATTAATATTGTCAAAGGGGCCATACTCCCAAAGCTCTATACATATTTAATGCAATTCCTATTAAAATTCCAATAATGCTCTTCATAGAAATAGAAAAAGCAGTCATTAAATAAATTCATTTGGAAAATAAGAGGCCCAGAATAGCCAAAGCAATCCTCAGTAAGAAAAGTGACACAGGAGGCATCACAATATCAGACCTTAAATTATCCTACAGAGCTATGGTAACAAAACAGCATGGTATTGGCGCCAAAACAGACATGAAGATCAATGGAACAGAATATAAGACACAGAGTCATACCAACATAAATACAGTTATCTCATGCTAGACAAAGGTGATATAAACATACACTGGAGAAAAGAGAGCCACTTCAACAAATGGTACTGAGAAAACTGGAAATACATGTAGTAGAATGAAATTGAACCTCTATCTCTCACCCTGTTCAAAAGTCAACTCAAAGTGGATCAAGACTGCTGATAGCAGGCCCGCCCTGGCCCCTGGGGACTCAACCCCCAGTTCTTTGTTATGCATGTCAATGTGGCCAGCTCACAAGGCCATGACGCAGGCTTGCGGTTCCCTGTTTATCTGCCTCGCACATATGTGTCTCGGGAACATCTTGACCTGTTCGAGCCTCCTGATAGGGGATGGTGACGTGACGGTAACCCAAGGACGCAATTATTACTCTTCCCTCCTCACTTTTGAGTAATTTCCCGCAGCTGTTAAAAAGATATATAAGGGGAACAAATCTGGCAATAAAGCGCGCGCGCACACGCTCCCTCCTGGATGAAGAACCTTGGTGTCCTGTGTATTTTTAACCCCGACGTCCCTCGCCGGACTCGGCTCCGTTGGCCGGACGCGGCACAAGACCTTGGCATTAGACCAGAGGCCCTGCATCTACTAGAAGAAAAAGTAGGTCCAACTCTCCACCATGTTGGCTTAGGAACTGACTTCCTCAATAAGATTCCCAAAGCACAAGAAGAAAAATCAAGAATCAATAAACGGGATGGTATCAAATCAAAGTTTCTGCACCACAAAGGAAACAATCAAGAATGTGAACAGAGAGCCTATAGAATTGGGAAAAATCTTTACCACCAGCACCTCAGAGCATTAATCTCCAGAATACACAAAGAACTCAAAAAACTTAACACCAAAACAAACAAACAACCCAGTCAATAAATGGGTTAAGGAACTGACTAGGCATTTCATAAAAGAAGAAATATGAATCGTCAAAAAATACATTAAAAAATCTTCAACATCTCTAGCAATTAGAAAAATGTGAATCAAAACTATACTGAGATTCCACCTCATCCCAATCAGAATGGCACTTATCAAGAATACAACTAACAATAAATATTGATGAGGATATGGGAAAAAAGGTTCATTTATATATTGCTGGTGGGACTGAAAATTTGTGCAACCACTCTGGAAAGCAGTATTGAGATTCCTTAGAAAACTTGGAATGGAACAACCATTTGACTCAGTTATTCCACTCCGTGGTTTATACCCAAAGGACTTGAAATCAGCATACTACAGTGACGCAGCCACTTCAATGTTTATAGCAGCTCAATTCACAATAGCCAAGTTATGAAATTAATATAGGTTCCCTACGACAGGTGAATGGATAAAGAATGTAGTATAGGGCTGGAGATGTGGCTCAAGCGGTAGCATGCTCGCCTGGCATGCACGGGGCGCTGGGTTCGATCCTCAGCACCACATAAAAATAAAGATGTTGTGTCCACTGAAAACTAAAAAATAAATATTAAAAAATTCTCTCTCTCTTAAAAAAAAAAAAGTTGACCTCTGAGGGAAATTCCAGATTCAAGCTATAGCAGATATGTGTTACATATATACACAGGTGAATGTGGTTTATATATGCACAACGGAATATTACTCATTCTCATAAAGAGAAGAATAAAATTATGTCATTTGCCAGTAAATGGATGAAACTGGAGAATATCATGCTAAGTGAAATAAGACAGTCTCAAAAAACCAAAGGTAGAATGTTCTCTCTAATATGTGGATACCAACACACAATAAGGAGGTGGAGAGGAATGAATAGAAGTTCATTGGACTAAACAAAGGGGAATGAAGGGAAGAGAGAGGGGATGGAAATAAGAAAAACGGTAGAATGAATCAGACATATCTTTCCTATCCTTGTATGTGAATATATGACCAATGTAACTCCACATCATGTACAACCACAATAATGGGATCCTAGTTGGAACAAGTTATACTTATTCTATGTGTGTATAATATGTCAAAATATATCCCACTGTCATGTATATCTAAAAAGAATAAATTTAAAAAAGAATAATTAAGCAAGACTTTTGAATTGAATGTGAAGGAAAAACTATAACTTAATCATTAGTGATGACATTGAAGAAATAATGTGTGAATGACAAGCAGATGGTCTACAAGGATCTTGGAAAAGTGGAGCCAAATGGCAAGAATTTGGCAGCATTTTTCCAGTTCTATCCACTAGTGACCAACACCTTATCTGGGAGATGTCAGTAATGTGTTCAAGAAAGAGTTCCTTATTCTGAAACACAAGGCCTGGCACAAGGTAAATATTCAATAAATATTTGTTAAATAACCATCCATTGCCTTTTATAGATACTCAGCTCCACCCAAGACTCTTACCATCATGAAACACTGGTGAATACAAGTACTCTAGTCAGCTGGGAACTACTTCTTCACTTCAGTTCTGAATTGAAAAATATGAGTATATAAAAATGGGTATCACTCTATTGTGAGTTAGGTGTAGATTGATCTTTCCTGAGTTAAGTCAGGCCTAAGTGTCTGACAAATCCATTTTCTGGAATACAGGGACCCTATCAGGTAACATCCTCATGAGGACCTTTGTAAGTTGCCATTGATCTTTCTGTACACACATCTCTCACTGTAAAACTTATTTAGGAAGAAAAGAGGAGCTTATCAGAAGGCCACAGGTGGAAATAAATGCATGCACACACCTCATAATTCTATGTGGATATTATGTAGGTGTTAACGTTGAAAAAGCCTGGAAAAATGGTGAATGGTCACTATATAATGTAAACTACTGGATAAGAGAATCCTCTCCATTGAGTTATAAAACTGAAAGACATATTATATATTTCTCAAGTATTTGCTTTGTGGTTCAGAACACAGGCTTTGGGGGCAAACAAACAGACCCAAGTTGGAATCTTGGTTTAGCCCCTTTACTAGCTGTGAGCATATTAACCCCAGAGTTGTTTTCCCATCTGTGAAATGGAAATACCAATAGTGGCTTCATCACACTATCATGGGGTGAATGTAATGAGACAGCTTCTGCTTAGCACTGTGTCTGGCAGACCAATGTATGATGGCAATTGTTATGCTAGCCTCAAGGAGAGCCCTCAGTCTGTGTTTGATCTTTTCACTTTCCTTGAACTACCAAGTACAATTATATTTGTATGTTGAAGAGAACGAATCTTCTTTTCTAAATGCGCTTAATTCCCCTTGCAAGGGTATAGTGCTTCATGCAGAACCGTGGAAAGTTCTCAGGGTACCTGTGTAGGTCCAGTAATAGTCCTCTGCATGGGGGAAACTGTCAGTCTTTATTCAAAGCACAGGACGATTCATTTTGTCAAAAAGGTGAGCTACTTCACTGGGTCATTTGCCACAATTCTGCCAGGGAGCTGTGGAGGAGGCACAGTAGTGAACAGGAGTGGGTTACACTGGCTCATAAGCATCCACTGGGAACATCAATTCCAACCTGGCCTGCAGTGGTATCACACTGATGGCTTAAGCCATGGAAATTAGCAAATGCTACAAATCTCCTTTTATGATTGGGCAGCAGAAGGAATAAGAACCTTTACAATTGTTCCAAGAAAGAGCAAGCTGGAACAAGTATGCCACTACACAAGGGGAACAGGCCAGGAAATGGAGAGAGAAACAGAAAACTAAGGTCCACAACCACTCTCTGCCAGGCACTGAGCAAAGCTCCTTCTGTCCAAAACTCAGACACATTCCTGGGAAGCCTCACTTGAATGTTGGTTACAGGCAGAATCCAACATCCATATCTAGGAAATCTATTTTAAGTAGCTGTTTCTTATTCCTTTTTATTCTTCCTTCACATTATTAAAAATTTTTCAGTACTAGGGATTGAACCCAGGATCATTCTACCAGGGTTGATACATTCCCAGCCATTTTTATTTTTTGAGACAGGGTCTCACTAAGTTATGCTGGATGGCCTGAATTTGTGATCCACCTGCCTCAGACTCTCAGTACCTAGCATTATAGATGTGCCTCACTATGCCTGATAAACTTGTAGGACATTTCTAAGATATTAACTCACCTTATATGTCTCCAGATCTTCTGGAAAGATCACAAACCTTACAGTTAGTTGTTTTTTCAAATGCTCTTTAGCAAATACTAAAACTTCATTAAACATAAGTTCTGCTACTATATCCTTCCCAATACCAATGTTTCCAGACCCAAGGGCAGGAAAGGAAATGGAAGTTATATTTGGCTTGAGGCATTCTTCCAAACATTGCTTCATTGCATTTTTCAATATCTGTAAGAGAAACATAAATTTAAAATCACTCTCTGAGTCAAAAGTAAGACTTCACTTATTCCTTGGTTCTGTTCATATTTTACAATGCCAACCTCTACCAAGGATCATGTCCATGCCTCCTCTGAGGGCAGGATAGGCCCCATCCATAGAGATTCCACTACAGCTATAAGGTTAGCTAATGAGAAATGAAAGGACTAAGAAACTGAATAATTGGGCCACTGTGGGCTATTCAAGACATTTGGGCACTGATTTCTGCTGGTTTATGTAGCTTTGCCCATCTTCCCAGGTCAGAGACTCAACTATCAGTTTGCTCTGCTCACCTGCCACTTCCAAGTCTGCATAAAGAGCTCTTAGAAGTTTAATAAAGGAGATAGAGATTAAAAGAAAAAAAGCAACATTTATTCAATATCGCTGGGATCTATTATATGATTTCTCCTGGAGAAGTACTAATACTTTTGGCAGACTTAAACGTCTATCAACTTTTCAACATTATATTGAATTACTGTTACAGAGGTTTGTTTGTGGAAAGGAGGACCTGAAAGACTGAGGACCAATTTGGGACGAGAGAGATGTCTAGCCATAAGAGGATAAACAAAGGTAGAAGGGATTAAACTTCTCTCTTTCCATATCTGAGTGGGTTTCCCTATTTTTTAAAGCTTGTATGTTATGGGCCTTAGGAGACAAAGTAGCTAGAGAGCCAATGTCCACCACAAGCACAGGTAGGAAGAGACCACAGGTAACAAATTTGACTGGAGTGGTGCTAGAAGGGAAATCCCGGCTCCTCCTGGAATTTAATCCATAGAGGAAAATATGGAGAAGTGAATACCGTGCCTACTTAGGAAAAGTCTACAGGGTCACTGAGTACGGTGAGGTGAATGGGTGAACAAGATGAGGAAGCTCTGTGTTTCAGTGTCCATTTGCAATATGCTTACTTAAAATTTAGCCAAGGGTTAGGTAACATTTCAGGCTTCAAATGTGGACCATAAACACTTGACAAGATTTCATGAATGTAATGAAACAATGGAAATTTAACAGGCTGGTTAGACCATGGAGCTGCATAAAGGTAAATCTATTCTGAACTTACCAAAGATGCAGGTTGTGCTGGATTCCACAGAACATGGAATACGTATTTACAGGGTAGTTTAAATCCTTCTGTGACCAGTACCAACTGGGAATCTGAAAACTTTTTAGTTACTTTTTTATAGAATTCCAATTCCATTTCATTTCCTGCCCGTTGCAGAATTGATGTTGACAAAGGTCCCACTCTGAGATTTGGTGGGGTTACAGAATTAACAATTACATCTGTCTGAAAAGGGAAGAAAGCATAGGATTCATTGTTAAATCCCTAATTTAAATCTTCATTTCCCAGAAAAGCTTTTAAAAATGATTTTTAAAAAAATATTTTAAAATTGTCAATGGACCTTTATTTACTTATATGCAGGGTGGAGAATTGAACCCAGTGCTTCACACATGCAAGGCAAACGCTTTGCTACTGAGTTACAACTCTAGGCCCTTCAAAATGTTTTTTGAGGACCCCAAATCTACAAAAATTCATTTAATAATGGTTAGAAACTCTTATTTCCAAGGAGCAATCATTTAATTGCCATGAAACTCTCTGTCCTATTCAAAAATTAAGTACAGAAATAGATGAAATGATTCTTATTGTAAATATCTATTAGCTTCTTACTGCATATACACCTTTTATGTTTCTAGATTCTGAGCATTCCTTGTGTTTTTTTTTAATATCTATTTTTTTAGGTGTAGATGGGCACAACACAATGCCTTTATTTTTATGTGGTGCTGAGGGTCGAATCCGGGTCCCGCCCATGCTAAGCGAGCACTCTACCGCTGAGCCACAATCCCAGCCCCCCCTTGTGTTTTTTTTTAAAGATGTATCAATAAATGGTTTCCTTCTCTGCTGTACCACTATCACTTTTTGCTATTTCTGTATAAGTTTTTTTTTTGTTGTTGTTGTTTGTTTTAAACAGAGAAGAAATTAATTTTCTTAGGAAAATTCTACCTAATGTTTTTGTTTTAAGATAAGTAATACATGGTTAAAGAACGTGCAAGTGAAGCCAAAAGATCTGCAATGAAAAGCAGGATTCCTTCTGGGTGAGATCTCCAGAACCACACACTCCCTCATCCTACAGCCAATCATTTTTACCAGTCTTTGATCTATCTTTTTGGAAAAAGACTATACATATATGTGGTATTTAAATAATTTCATCTCTTAGCTCTCAGATCTGTGCTAAAGGGTTGTGTTCTCTCCTCTACCAAAGCCTCTAATCATCTGACATCTTTGGTTCTCTTTGGGGGTAACTTAGATACTTCTCATAAATGTTAACAAGTGTTTTACTTTTGAGAGTGCAATCAAAATTTGCCATTTGAAGGCATTGGCATCCTTTTAATTTTTTTAAGGTTTCTAATGCCACTGGCAATAAATAAGTGCACTAAAATTTCAGTTAATGGGATAAGTTATTCAACTAGGATGCTTTCCTTTTAATTTTGAATTGGTGTTTTAATACCTTTTCAAATCATATAGTCCCCTCGGTCTTTATTCTAATTTTCTTGTAGATAATAGGTGGTATTTGTTTTACTAGTGGTTAAGTCGATTTGATTGTGACCCTAAGAGACATCACTGAAATTAAAGAATACAGCCTTGGCTGGGTGTGGTAGCACATGCCTATAATCCCAATGGCTTGGGAGACTGAGGCAGCAGGTTCACGAGTTCAAAGCCAGCCTCATCAACTTAGCGAGGCCCTAAGGAACTCAGTGAGACCCTGTCTCTGAATAAAATACAAAAAAAGGGCTGGGGATGTAGCTCAGTGGTTAAGCACCCCTGCATCCAATCCCCAGTCCAAAAAAATAGAATGCAGCCTGTATTTCTTCTCTTCTTCTGTTGAAGTCCCTGCTCCTGCTGCCTCTTCCACTTATCCATCATTAATTTACTGAACACCTAGATCCATGCACAGATCAGGCTCTGGGACTGCAAGAGAGGAGAAAGTCATGATGCTCTTCCTTAGGTGCTCTCTGCCTAGAAGTGGAGCTGCATTAGCCCAGAATCACTTAGATTTGCTCTTTCCCTGACTTCCTCAACTCCCTCAGCGGGCCCTGGCCTTTGTGCCCAATAAACTCCAGCTAAATGCTAAGTTACACCTTGTATTTTCCACAGTCTCTGTCACAGAGCTATACATATGGAATATGACTTTGAACTCCACCTGTGTCTACTCACTCTGGCCAACTTCATTATTTCCTCTGTCAATTAATTCCTCAGTGTGTCTTTGATCAAGTTTCAAGAAGGTCTCCTATCAAAGCTTTCCCTCTGCCAATTCATACCCATCACAACTTGAGGTCAGCTTCAAAACTCACAACTCCAAAAACAATCTTTCTCGGTCCACTGTTATTTTGCATCACTACTGACAGGTTGCCTCAGAAATGTTTAGATGGTTTGTCTCAACAATGAGATTTTTCCAAATAAGTAACTTTTTAGATAAAAAGAGCATAATAAATTTTAAGCTCCTTAGGATCATAAGTTGTTCTAATTCTTCATAGTGCCTAACAATAACAGCAACAGCAATAATAATTATAATTACTACTCTAACCATGTGCCAAGCACGAGGAAAAGCATTGTGTGAGTACTGATTCTAGCTCTATGATATAAGTACTACAGTTATCCTCATTTTATAGATAAGGAAGCTAAAAGATAAACTAATTTGTTTCAAGTCACCCCGTTAGTAAATGGCAAGGCAGGTATTTAAATCCAGGTGGCTTGGCTCTGAAGACCACACTCTTAACCCCAAGAAGATGCTTTCTAAACAGCAATGCATGGTACATATTCTAAAACCTCTTAATAGGTATCAAATAATTCAAGGATCCCCTACTGGAAGTGCAAGAAAATAGAATCAAAAACTTACCATCTGTAGTTCAATGTAGCCCAGGACAATCTGGAGAGTCAGGCCCTGAGGAGTTTGAATAGTCATATTAAAAGGTGGGGTGGTTTCTTGATGCTCCCAAGAGTCCAGCTCATTGCTTCCCAGGACAGTTTCTGAAGCAGATTTAAAGGCAGCAACAGTAGGGTCCTCATTGCTCACCAGATGAATTTCTTTCAAATTACCAACCACTTGTTTGCTTTGGAAATAAAACTTGATAGTGTTTAAAATGGTCATTGTACACAAATCCAGAGGAAACTTGAAAATTCCAGAGCTCAGGGCTGGAATTGCTACTGTCTTAATGCGCTTTTCTTTACAAACAAACTCCAGAACATTTGCAATAGCTCTTTTCAGTGTATCAATGCATCTCTCTTTCTCCATTGCTTTCCATCGAGGCCCAACAGCATGGATAATGTTTTTGCAAGGAAGTTTTCCTGCTCCAGTGACAGCTATCTCACCAGGTAGTACTCTGCCATAACTGGCAATGAATCTTTTGCTCTCCTCTTCAATTTCAGGGCCACCAGCTTTCACCAGGGCCAAGGCCAGGCCTCCCCCATGTAGAAGATCTTCATTGGCTGCATTCACCACAACATCAACAGCACGTCTGCTGAGGTCACCCTTCCAGACAGATAACTCTAGCCCTGGGGCCAGGGTCTTTCTGAAGACTTGCTGGCCCAAAGAATTGCTATTACCTTCCAGAGCTGGAGACATTAGGGTAGAGATACACCCAAACTTATTTTGGAGGACTTCAAATAGTCTACTCTCATTATTTTTTAAAATTTCAAAGTCATTGAGATTAACAGGAATTTGCCAACTATAGTGTCTTCCAAGAGAGTCAGTCTCTGGAAAAGGAGAAAAGATTAACAATAAAGAAATGATCAAGGTTCCCTTCGAAAAGTATGTAATTCCATTTCACACCAGGAGGCTGAGTTTCTTATTTACAAAAGAGATGAACTTCCTCTAGCTCCCTTACTGATTCTCCTTCTCACTCAGACATTTAATTACAATATCCAAGAGTTTTCAATAGTAGGACACACTCATAAGGTGCTTAGTCTTGTGCCTGCATATACTAAATACCCCATAATTAGTAACTACTGTGTATAGTGATGAGAAGATGGTGTGTATAGGAGAACTCATAAATATTTTAAATGCATGTAAGAATATTAGAAAGGATATGAGTCAGAAGTACAGGGAGTTACATTTCTAATTTTTTTGCTTTCGTCAGTGTCTTAGTTTGAGTCCTTTTGGAAGCAGACTCTGAGATGAGAATTTGAATGTAAATAATTTATTTGAAAGGTGAGTCTAGCAAACACCAGGAGTTCTGCTTAAGGAAGGGGGGGTGGGAAACTAAGACGAAGGAGAAAAGCGAATAGAGTGTCTTATTTAGTAAATGAAGCTTAACTTCACTGGTGGGCAATATAGATTATATGCCTCAGAGTTGTACCCCTAGAGGGGAAATTATAGGAGCTGACATATTTCTCCAGCTTCTAAGGGTCATTGGCCAAAGCTGTCCCTTGGCTAGGAGGTGCAGGGGGGGCACTGACAATGTCTGCTACAGCAAGTATTTCTTCATAGTACTTTAGTTGCATGGCACAGTTAAAATTAATGTGGAATTAAAACTGATTGACTAAAAAGTATTTATTATGGCTGAAAAAAAGATGTGTGGGGGCTGGGGATATAGTTCTGTTGGTTCAGTGCCTGCCTTGCATACCTAAGGCCCTGGGTTTAATCCCCAGTTCTGTCAAAAAAAAAAAAAAGATGTTCTGTTCAGATTCTCCTTCAGTTTGATTATAAAGTAGGAAATCTGGTAAGCTCACAACCTGTAGCTATTAAATACCCCCCTCATGGATTCATCTCAGCTCGCTAGCCAAGGTCATGCTATTCTCAGAGTGTTCTCCATCAAAGCCTGAACAAGGCCATTGATGCTCAGCAAGAGACAACTCTACTCTCTAACAGGGGATCTCAGGCTGCCAGAGACTGTAAGGTTTTCATTATAACTCGATGGCTCCACCCCACCCAACCTAGCGTCTTCTGTTTCTTCCATAATGAACCTTTTGTACTAACTCCATCTCCAACTCTAGATCCTGGAGAACCTAACCTGTGATAGCGTATTTCATGGAGCCCAAAACATTGTTATTGCATGCCTCTGAGGAAGGGAAAATAATGCCACTTAAAGTGTAGTAGCTTTGTTTCAGAGATGTTAAATGTGAAAAAAGTGCATCCTAAATTTATAAAATGTGGTAATCATATATACATAACTTCAACAGGCATTTCTAATTGGAGCCACCTAGAAAGACCTCTGGTGGCCTCAGTTACCCAAAAGAAGCAGCAAGTGAGTAGTTTGACCTAACTGGCCTGAGCTTTAATTAGAAATCTGAAATCTCAAATAGGCCACTCCTAGAATTAGGCAGGTACCATTTGGCTCTTTCAGCCAAGGGGACAATCAGTTGGTCACCCCTTCTGTCCAATGTCAGCTGCAGGGCTGTGGTCAGAAGAGTCTTACATCTGTGAACAAAGGAAAGGATCATTGGGGGCCCTAAGGGAACAAGTTGGTAGTACCACACTGCCTCTGAAATAGTCCTCCTTCTGAAGCATGAGCTAGGGTCTCCACACAGGCCTGCAGTCACGCACCTGAGCACTTGTGGGGGAGACAGTCTCCGTCCGTATTCCCTTTTCTCCACTGAGAAAAGATCTGAGCAAAGCCTTTCTGAAATAAGAGTGGGAGTGAGGTGATCCTACCTGATTTTTCATTGGAAGTTGCTGCTCCAACATCCTGTGAAAGATGAGAATGACTTTAAAACAAAATTTAAGCTGAACAGCTACAGGATACTGATCCCAGATACAGTCTACCACATACAAAGCAACAGCAACTTGGCTCAAAGCACTGGGTTTGCAGAGAGGGACACATGTATTTGTCACTGTGGTTATTTTCTATCTTTGTGCCTAAAACACTGAAAATACTAAATGTTCCATCAAACATTGACCCAATCCCACTTGCCTAGGGATTGAATTTAAAATGACATGAAGGGTTATAGATTCATACTTGAAAAGGCCTAAGAGTCATAGACCTCTAAAAAGATCCAAAACTCTCAGACAGGCTCCAATTCCAATGTGTCTTGGAGTTTCCCTAGATAGAGCAGAAAACATGAGGACATGAGCCTCATCAGCTGCATCTTCCACCCACCAGTAAGGACCCACTTTCAGTTGCCTATTTCATGTCATAGCCTTCATGTAGAATTTTGAAATTTAGCAAATGAATTTAGCAAATGTTTCTTTCTCTATTCCCTTGCTTTTATTCCTCCCTTATCATCTCCTTACTCCATCCTAAAAAAATGATCTGCTGAATGAATGAAGAGAATCCAAATGATATGCAAGTGACATTTTTTTAAAAAAAATCATCCATCTTCAAGTTGACATTGTTGATAATTAGCATATTTTCGATTCCAATTTCCCAATGATTCAATAACACATTTATTAGGCTATTAAAACCAAATGAGATGCTAGGTGTTACTGAAGAGCCCAGACTTCTTGCTATTTATTGTAGGAAAAACTCTTCATGTACTAATCAAGGTTCATAATGCATAGACATTTATATATTTATACATATAGATTTTACCATGGAGAAGGCCATTATCCAGGTCTCTGGTGGGTCTTTAATCCCTCTTGGGTTTCAAAGTGTAGACTGCAGTTCCCAGATATGGCGGCCTACTTCTAGGAATAAATGGAAACAACATAGTAAGCATTGACCAGATGCTGAGGGAATTTGGTACAAATAGTCCATAGGAGCACTGAGCATGATTTCTGATCTTGAGAAGTTTTTATTTCATTGGTGAGATGCACATATTGGTTTGCTGTTGTTATTGTTTACCTTCTGTCCTCTTCAGGTCAGGTTCCAATAAAAACCATAATGGCAGTTCAGAGAAGGGAAAAAGTTACAGGGGCTTGAACAGGAAAAAATTCATGGAGAAGGTGAGACTGGAGCCAGGCCTTGAAGGATGGATCAGGTTTTCACATATGTAGAAGAGGAAGATGATAACAAAATGGTGAGACTGAGCACAGCATTCAGAACAGCCAGGAACAACAGCCTTATGAGCAAGTGAAGACCCCTGAGGAGTGTTTGAAAAAAGAGGATACTTGTGCCTGCATGGGGTGTGCCTTGCAGAGTTTATGATAAATATCCTTGACCTAATTCGATAGGGGATATCTGGATAATAATATTTTAAAAAATAACCCTCTGGGGAAGATTATTTTGAAATGTTTGCCATCAAGTAGGCAGTAATTAAAGGCTGTGAATTTTTTGAATGATGATGAAAAGATACAATGGTCAACACTTTCTGCTGTCTTTAGGTCCCTAAAGTGATCTCTCTGTGTTTGCAATAGAAAATTTTTGTACAATCATCCACAGCATCAGAGCACTATTATTCTTACACCTGGAGGAAAAGGAGTAACAATCCTAAAATGCAAGAACGAAAAGCATCTGTGCCTCTAGAGGGCACTGCTGTATTTACAAAAGAAGGAAGACTTCTGCACCTGCTGGGCTGCTGGGTTTTTCTTTAGATGTTGTTGTGCTTGTCTCTATCTTCAGACCCGCCCTTAAAGGACTAGGCACGGACTTGGCTGTGGAGCTGGCATCCATTTAACCCCAGAGAAATTAGAAGCAAAGAGAATGTTGCCTAAAACAATTTCTTCCATTTAAATAACCACAAACACCTTCTCAACTTTCCATCACTGAAGTTGAGGGAATTTGGTAAGACTATTCCGTAGGAGAACTGAACATGACTTCTGATCTTGAAGTTTTTCATTTCATTGGTGAGATGCACAGTGTTTTGCTATTGTTGTCACTATATTCCTTCTGTCCTTTCCTATGGTATTTCTGTCCCTCATTGGCAGTCAAACTTCTGCAAAGAGTAGTTGATTGTCCTGTCATCCCACCCGCTCAGCTCACCATAGTCTGACTCCCCATCTCAACCCCAGTACTCCTCTGAAACTGTCAGTGTTCTCCATGTGGTTAACCCATGGCGCACTATCTTCTATCCTAGTCTTTGCGTGACCCCTTCTATAGCATTTCATTCTTTGATTCCTGAAACTCTGCTTTATTAGCTTTTCCTATGCCCTCTTGACTCTTTGTATTTTTTTTTGTCCCTATGCCTTTATAGACCTTTCCCTGAATTCACTTCCAGCATCCTCCCCTCACTCTTTAATCGAATCCAAAGGCACTTAACCACTGAGCCACATCCCTAGTCTTTTTTTGTATTTTATTTAGAGACAGGGTCTCACTGAGTTGTTAGTGCCTCCCTGTTGCTGAGGCTGGCTTTGAACTTGCAAACTTCCTGCCTCCACTTCTGGAGCTGCTGGGGTTACAGGTATACACCACCCCACCTGGCCTCAAGATTCTGTCTAAGAGACACTTCTTTATTCTACATATTCCCCAGGTGGTAATCTCATCTACTTCAGGGCTTCAACTCACCAACTGTAAATACAACTCCCATATCTGTATTTCTAGGCTACTACTCTCCTGCAACTCTATCTGGATGTCCCATATTCCCCTCAAATACAGTTTCTACAAGAATTGACCCTTATATCCTCCTCCCCACTCCCCCGCAAAAAATCCATGCTTTATCTCCTAGATTCCACAGCTCAGCAAATAATATGCCATTTGCCCACTCAAATCAGAAATCTAAGAATTATCCTTAAATCTCCTCTTTTGTCCTATATCCAATCTCTCTCTGGGTCCTGACCACCTAAGTTCCTCTCAAATATGTCCCTAACTTTCTTATTTCCTGATATTGCTGCACTTTAGGGTCTCAGAACCTCTTGCCTGAGTTATGGCAGTATACTCTTTCCAAAGATTCAAATGCACTATCTAACTTTACATTTGATTGTCTGAATACATATTACATTTATGTATTTACATGGTGCAAAAACTGTAGAAGGTCCTCTCTTACCTCCCTCAAGAAACACCCTCCAAGGTAATCAACCTCTCTTATATCCTTCTTGGGACATCTCTACACAAAAGGTAGCATCTAATACACACTCTTCTACATTTTACCTTCTCCACTTAATATGTGCCAGAGATCTGTTCACAGTAGCACATTGAGATGGACCTCATTTTTTTTTCACTATTTATTGTATTCCATTGAATAGAAATACTGTAAGTTATTTAACTATAAGTTATTTAATGCTGTTCCCCATTCATGGACATTTAAGGAGTTCCCAGTCTTAAGCTACTGTAAAGAAGCCTATAAAGAACAATTTTGAGGGCTGGGAATGTGGTTCAAGTGGTAGTGCACTTGCCTAGCATGCATGAAACACTGGGTTCGATTCTCAGCACCACATAAAAACAAAATAAAGATATTGTGTCCATCTAAAACTAAAAAATTTTTTTAAAAAAAGAACAATTTTGTACCTAGGTTGCTTAACACATAAGGGCTAATATATCAATGGGACAAATTCTTGGATGTGGTACTGAAAAAAATACAGCATATGCAATTATAATTCTGATAGTAGTGCCAAATTGCTGTCCATGAAGACCAGCCATTTCTAGTCATTTCCACATGCAAAAATCTCATCTCTGGCCTCTCTACCTCCATTCATCCCTGGTTGGAAATGTGTTCTTTGCAATGTTGTCAGCTCCTTCTTTCTAAGACTCATCAGTTTTTGGCTTCCTTTGTTTCCAACTCTTCCATTTCTATCATCAAGACCTTTCACCATCTAGACATGTGCTGTTCAAGGTAGACCATTAGGCACATGTAGTTATCAAGCACTGGACATGTGGTTAGTCTGAAATGAAATGTGAAGTAAATAAAAGAAAAACACTGGGTGGCAAAGACTTAGAATGACCAAAGAGATCATAAATTATCCCTTATATGCTGAAATAATTAGTTTGAATATATTAAATAGCAGCAGTAAAATCAATTTCACCTGTTTCTTTAAATGTTTAATAATATGATGAAGAATTTTACAATTAACATGTGACTCCCTTTATATTTCTATTGAACAGCACAGATCTGAGTAGGCCCCTCCTTTTGCATGTCCCTGTCCATCTCCTCCCCTTCCAGGTCCCAGGGCCCTCTCTGTGTTTCAGACCACAGCACTCCTGGTCCCAGATGCACTCCCTTTCTCTCCCCTCCCTAGCCCCCCACTCAACACTTTTAGAGAGTGTCCAATTCCGCTCAAACCTTTCACTTGGAGGTCTTCAGAGATTTGCTTCCTTGTTTCACAGGTCTGCCTCCCTTTGCAGCCCTTCAGCTAAGGGGCCTCTTACCCCTCCTGCACAGGGCGACAACCATTCCGTACTGTTGGCCAACTCAAGGGAAGAGGGCAGAAAAGTGCCTGTCTACAGGACAGAGCTGCTGGCACGGAGCACGTCGCAGGTAACAATGCGGGTACACAAACTAAAAACTTTTTTTAAAAAAACTGGGTTAAGTATAACGTGAACTCGGAATGCGAATTACATCTTGTGGCAAACAGCAATAACAACAATGGTTTAAAAGAACAGAAACACAAGAGAAACTTATTTTCCCTGCCTGGCTTACATCCTAACATGGGGACGCCTGGCCCGGGGACCCCCGTCCTCGCCCACCCTCGCTCGAGCCTGCAGGAGAGCGGACCCCCAGGGACTGGACCCACTTACCCGACGCTGGCTGTGGGGCGGACTGCACAGACCAGAGGGGAGGCGGCTCTGCTGGGAACAGGGAGGGACTTCCAAAGAAGCGAAACTGAAACTTTGAGGCCCCAGTCGGCGGGGTGGGAGGCGCCTTTGCCCCGTCCGGCACAGAAGCGTCCCGGAGCCCCACTCGAGCCGCACGCCGAGCGCCATGGCCTCCAGCCCCTGCCCGCCGTCGCCGCTGCTCGTGCGGGTGTCCCAGTCCATGCCCCGGCTGCACAGGAAACTGGAAAGCTACTTCCAGAGCCGGCTCTCGGGCGGCGGGGAGTGCACGGTCCGGCCGGTCGGCCCGAGCGCCCCGGACACTTTCCGGGTGGAGTTCAGAGAAAGGGCAGGTGAGCTGCGGGCAGCGGAGGTGCCAAGGCCGTCCCGGGGGTGGGGGGCGCAGCGCCGCGGGTTTCCAGGGCGACCCAATTCAGTCTGACCTAGGGGAGCGCGCAGGAAAAAGTATGGAGCTGTCCTTAAGGGGGGCAAGAAGCGGGAGTTCCTGTTGCCAGCATCTCCTGCAACCCCACAGTGGAGGTTAGAGTCCTAGATGTGACCAGTCCCTGATCCGGGTTGACTACCTCAAGGATGGTACTTTTAGTGCTTTTCTGAACTGACATATTTTTTCAATTGCCACAGAAATATAAGTACTGCCCCTTCCTTCCTCAGGTTCCTGGCAGTTGTTGTCCTTGTTGTTTAAGCATTGCAGTTTTATGTTGTAAATAATGATTCAATTGACTGACTTTTGAGGTTTACAAAAGTAATAGATGCTCCCTATAGAAAAGAGCAAAAAAGAAAACTATGTGGAGATAAACAATGGGAACATTTTGATGTATCTCTCTCCAGCCGTTTCCTATGAATGTCAGCAAACATATGCATTTCTAACAATCTGAGGAGAAACTTTGGATTCCTGCTTTAAAAAAAAAAACTTAATTATTTAATGACTATTATTCCATATCACTGAAAGGCGGACTGGAAACATGATTTAAATGGGCCGATGATGTTCCATTATCATTAAGCATTCATTTTTATTGTAAAATGTAAGCTGTCCACTTCAGAGTTCTGAATAGCTCCCCCTATTTCCCCACCAAACCGGTATTCCAGCATGCAGGGAACAGTCTTACAGTGAGGTACTGGGCAGGGTATAAATGCAAGAATAATGGGATTACTGTCAGGCCTTCTGTGGCTGTTGGTTCTGTATCCGTGGATTCAACCAACCAGGGATGGAAACTGTCTTAATTACAGGAAAAAAAATAGCATCTGTACTGGACATGTACATTTTTTCTGTCATTATTCCCTGGACAATATAGTAAGACAACTATTTACATAGATTTACATTGCATTGGGTATTATAAGTAATCTGAGATGATTTAAAGTATTTAATACTTATGGAAGTATTACACCATTTTACATAAGGGACTTGAGCATCCATGGATTTGGGTATCTTTGGGGGTTCCCAAAACCAATTTTCAGGGAATTCCAAGGGCTATTTGAAATTTGTCCTGTGAATGTATGTTTAATGTCTCCACTGAAGCTAAGGAGGGAGTGTTGAAAAAAGGAGATCACCACATCTCGATTGATGAGAAACCTGTGCCCATTTTTCTGGATACCACTAAGAAGCCAAAAGAGAAAACAAAACCTGGAAGTTCTTCACTGACACAGTCACAAGCTGAAGCACAGTCTGGGGAGAAACATCCAAATAAAGGTCCTGTTCCTAATAATGTCAACTCCTATGTCCAAAAGGTGAGTGTTGGAAAAAGCAGCTGCCCCCATGGTTACCACACCTACTGCCTTTTTGTCCCAGCAGACAGTGCTGGGGACTAATAATGAGTCAGGCATTGGTTTAAGCACTAGGACACAGAGATGAACACAGCAGACAAGGTCCCTGCTCTCATGCAGCTGGTACTGGGGTGGAGAGGTGCACAGAAAAACAATAAGCAAGTAAAAACCTGAAAAAAAAAATTCAGAGGCTTGAGACCTGCTAAGAAAATAAAATAATCTTTTGCCTCAGAGAGAACAGGGCCAAGGCAAGAAAGGGAATGGTGAAGATGGTTCTACTTATGACCAGAAGTCAGAGCCAACTCTTCTGTGGAGGAGGTATTTGGCATGAGACATAATGAGGAGTCAGCCATGCAAGAATTCATTCCACAAATAGATACTGACTGACTGCTATGTGCCAGGCACTGTAATAGGGGCTGGGGACACAGCCAGGCACACAGAGACTTTGCCCACACACCACTTACCTTTAAGTGAGAGGAACCAACAATGTAAACAAATAGAAATGTAATAAAATGCCTATAAGTTTTGGAAAGAAGAATAAAGCAGGATTAATGAAAGAAACCCTATTTGACATAGGATGTCAAGAAGAACCACTCAGATAGAGTCATCTGAACAGACATGATTGAAGTAAGGGAGCTAGATGAGTGGGTTTCTGGAGGAAGAACATTCTAGGCCTTGGCCAAGGGATGCACATGTGCACAGGCCCCACAAAAGCTTATATCCTGAACTCTCAAGCTACAAAAAAGATAGAGTAGGGGAAGACAGTGAGCAAGGGAAGGAGTGCTGGCAACTCAAGAGAGGTCAGGTATTTAGGGGATGATGATAAGGACATCAGATTTCAAGTTAAATGTCAGGAGAGTCATCAGATGGTTTTGATCCAGGGGAGTGGGCATTTTCGTTTACATTTCTAAGGGATGGATCTGGCTGCTGTGTGTGGAAATACATGTGCAGGAAGGGCTAGAATAGAAAGTCAGAGCCCAGTTAGGAAAAGTTGCAATGGGCCAGGTGGAGGATGATAATGGCCTGGACTCTGGATGGTTCCCATAGACATATAAGAACAGGAGATTCAGGAAACATTTTGGAGATCTAGAGGAATAATGTTCCATGCAAAGAAAAGAACATGTGCAGAGACCTCAAGGGGGAACAAAACATTAGAAATTTTGCTTTTCTACTACATTTCATTCACCTCTGTCCTTTTTATTGTAAACTAGAATATCTTTTTTATAATTGAGCTTCTAAAAGGTCAAAGTTTAGGAAGGGCCTAGCAACTCTGTGGGAAGTCAAATGTTTAATTTTGTTGGTTTGTGTTTTATTTATTGTTGTTGTTATTTGGTACTGGGATTGACCTCAGGAGCGCTTTACCACTAAGCTACATCCCCAGCCCTATTTTTTTTTTTTTTTTTTGAGTCAGGGTCCCACTAAGTCGATAAGGCTGGCCTTGAACTTGTGATCCTCCTGGAGCCTCAGCCACCAGAGTCGCTAAGGTTATAGGCATGTGCTACCATGCCCAACTCTTTGTTTTTTTTTTTTTATTATTTTTTATTAAATTATTTATTTATCCTAATTTGTTATACATGATGGCAGAATGCAATTCGCTTCATATTACACATATAGAGTGTTTATTTTTTAAAGAGGAAGGGTAAATAAGAGAAAAATATAGTAATAAGAAAAAAAATTATCCTCAGATTTGTGACTCTTTTCACAGACTATTTTGTGAGGACCACAGCAACTTATCCAGAGAACAGAAATGCCTCTCTCTACTGTCATTCCTCAAGGTCAGACAGGGGCAGCTTTAAAACCCAGTTCTTTTGTAACATAGAGCTTTTAAAAAATGTTCAATCCCAGGCTCCCCTGTAGACCATTTACATGAATCTCTGGAGATGAGCCTGAGCCCTGGCCCACTGGCCCTTTCTCCTTCCTTCCCACTCTTTCTTTCTCTCTTTCACTTTTTGAACTTCCCAGGTGATTCTAACATGCAGACAGGCCTGAGACCCTCTAGGCTGTAGTATACTGCATTCTCTTAAAGGATTTGAACAGGTGGCCCCCCATAAGGAAAGGCTTAGTGGTTGTTTCTGTAGTCTCAGGGCATTCTGAAGAATGCTGTGTTCTACTGGGGGCCTGGGAGTCTGAGATATTTTATTTGTTCCTGTTCCTTTGAATTTTTCAGATCTTTCTTACTGTGACAGCCGATCTGAACTGTGACCTGTTCTCCAAAGAGCAGAGGGCACATGTAACCACTCTCTGCCCCAGAGTCAAAAAGTTGGAGGGTGACAATGGAATTGAGAAGGTGTGTGGTGATTTCAGAGATATTGAGAAAATATATCACTTCTTAAGTGAGCAGCTCCTGGAGAATGAGAGGAATCAGGAATCTTCCCCTTCTACCATGGAGAGGAAACCACTTGACCAGCAGGACTGTGACAGCTGCTTTTTTCCTTCTGAACCAAAACCCAGGTCAGAAGAAAAAGGCAGCCATTTTGAAATTCCCTTGCATTTCTTTGAATACTTCAGATATACCTGTCCTGGTAAAATAGACTCAATAGAGAAAAGATTTGGTGTAAACACTAAAATTCAAGATATCCCTCCCAATACAGTCTATTTAGACTTTACCTCCAGCCATTCAGAGGACATAGAAGCAGCTCGTGAGTCTTTTGTCAGCGACTTTCAGAAGACCATTGAATCTCTGAAGCAAGAACGTGTCTTTTTAGAAGATAGGAAGTGGGCAAATAACATCAAACAGGAGTTGAGTCACAGATTTCCAAAGCTCCTGATAAAGGAGCAAGGAGGAGTGCTCACTCTCCTTGGGACCCAAGATGACATTTCAGCTGCCAATCAAAAAATTTCCGAATTTCTTGTCTTGAAACCTGTGAAAATATTTGCTCCCAGTTGCATGAAGAACACAATTGAGATTGACACTGCTCACTATAAGCTTCTAGAAGCTCAGTTACTCAAAAAGATAGTAGAGATAGAGCAAAAGTACAATAGTCATAGTAAAGTTAGGGAGAAAGGTCAGAAAACCTGCATTCTATTTGATCCAAAGGATAAGGAGATAGATCTGTCTGTGCATGCTTATGCAAGTTTCATCGATGCCTTTCAACATGCCACCTGTCAGTTGACGAAAGAAGTCCTTTTACTGAAAACTTTGGGCAAGGAGAAACAGCACTTACGTGGGACTAAGTTTGCTGATGACTTTAGAAAGAGGCATCCAGATATACACTTTGTGCTGAGTCGAGAGACAATGACTTTGACTGGTTTGCCAAATCACGTTGCAGAGGCAAA